CTCAACCATGTCTTCAGGTGGAACGCCTTCGAAAGGATCCTTTGTTGGATCTTTGGGCTTACCGGATGAGGATGATGAGGAACCTCCTTTGCCCTCTTCATCTTCACCGGGATCATAAATCCCACTTTCAAATGCATCCTTCTTTGAATGATCAACCATTCCATCAGTCGAAGGGATCTTGATTGCTTTGCCACTTTCCATCGGACCTTTGTCAATCAACTCCTCCACCGGTTTAGCATCCTCGTCTTCAGGCTTTGGAGGATCGTCCGATATCATGTAGCATGGAATGCGACCCTCACGGATAGCATTATACCTGTCCTTCAATGGAAACACAAAATCTCCGTCAGGCAAGGCGAGTTTGTTCGTTCCAACCCATGGCACACTACTATCAAAGTTGTTGTCCATCACCTCTTTAAGAGGGAGAACAAGGAACTCTTTCCTCCATGAGAATTCAGGGTGAATCTTGTATCCCAAAAATACTCCCGGTAGTGAGGTAGGATCGAATTTCAATTTTTCTTTGGTTTTGGTTTTTGGTCCGGTCCAATAGTCAATCCTCACTCCAAAAGGAATCATTGGTCCCTTGAACTTCTCATCGAACCTGAGTTGCCATGGCGTTTGAGATTCCTGATCACCGAGTATGTTATGCGCCATGCAACAATGTCTGGCGGCATGCGTCCAGTATGTATGGTGCAAACCCGCTTGTTCAAGATTGATACGAGTTCCATCAAGAACGGATCGAATACTCCTCTCTGCTTGAGCATTACTCTTGGAGATATACGGAACACTTGTAACGTGTCTCCATTTCAATTCTGATGCTGCCTTGACAAGCTCTTCTGCATTGTCTGAATAGAACACACCAATGTCATCCCGTCCCCGGGTGAAGTGCTTCAATGCAAGAACACAATCTCTAGTCGTTTTCCTAGCCGACGGATATACATATCTAAAGTCCGTAGCTATGTCCTTAACGACTAGAGCGTTTCTTGAACCATCGATAGCCTCTTCTTCGTCGTCCCGAAGAATGAGATGGTCAGCAGTGATGTGATCACCAAACTTGTCAGCATCAACAGTTTCGGATCCTCCCTTCTTGTACGATGGTGGCTTAGTCATCTTAGCCCTTGAACATGTTGTACAAAAGGGGTTCTTGGGAACATGTGTCAACAAATGCGCAAGCGACTTTGCTTCCCGCCTCAAGGCTTGTTCACCACGATCACGCTTTTCCGCTAGTGAATCGGGGACTAACCTGGCATCGACTGCTTCGGGTTCTGCTTCTGCAGACTCATGGGGTGCTTCCTCTACGCTAGGTGAAGTAGGGATCGGAATGTACGAAGACTTGCCGTTCCCGGAAGCATGTTCTTCATATTTGTGCCCGATAGCAGTCATAGCCATACCACTGGTTGATGGTAAATAAGGAACATAGTCCTTCACTTGAAGCTTGATCCTCTGCCCATTTGGCTTTTTGAAATATGGTGTGTCATTTGACGGCCAAATGAACGACCAATCATGATCAATACATAATTGTCCCACGGATATCACTGCCGGACTATCATCAAGTACATATGGTTTTGCAGTGATTCCCAACAAGGGAATATCAAGATTAGCCTGATCATTGGCCTGGAACACTCCGTTAGCTGTAAGAAGACTAACCGGTTTCGAGGATTCGAACACTTCGTTGCGATTGACCATTTCCCTAGACACCAAATCATTCGCACTGCCAGTATCCGCAATCCATGCGATCTCGGTCGCAGGCATTGTGACCCGTTGATTCTTAAAACAATGCTTGCATCCCATTTCCGAATCGCAAAGATAGCAACATCGTGCCTCGATGCCATTCAACTCGTTTGAAGCAGCTCTGCTCAAACGGTCTGCTGCAATGCATGCATCTTCAGATGCCATTTCCAAAACTTCGGCGTTTCCTTTGTGGCCTATTGGGAAACTGACATGCTTTCTTTGTCTTCGCGCAACAACTGGAAACATTAAAGAATTGCAATGAACCACGTGTATAAAAACTTCTGGTTTGTCAGCAAAAGAAAGACGTTTCACTTTTCCCCGTCCTGACGAAGATGATGGGGAAGAACTGGTGGCAGGTGTAGCAACCATGGCCACGCTTTCCAACGGGCATCTGATAGTAGCAGACTGTGATGATGAGACCGCAGTAGCTAAGACCAGAGTGCGCAGCAGGCAAACAGCGGCTGGGTTAGAAGGAGCACCTTTCCCACCTTTGGTTTTCTGACTACCGCCAGAACCGTTGGAGCCACGAGAAGTGCTTCGTTTCTTCTTCTCTCTTTTCTCCTTCTTTTTCTTCTTTCGTTTCTTCCGGTCGTCACTTGGTGCGGGTGTAGAAGAACGATCGGGATGTTTGAAAGCACAATTCTTTCCCCGGTGACAGTCACCAGATTTCCAAAACTTGCAAACTTCCGATCTTGATCCCGGAGTCAACGACCTTCCACGTGAAGAAGAAGATCTACCCTTTCCACCACCTTTGGGCCTCCCTTTGCTGGATTCACGGGGTTTCTCATGTTTGAATGGGCAGTCGCGCCTACCGCACTTTCCTTTGTTCTGAAACTCATAGCAAACACCTTTCGGCTTTTTGTCACTTGGGTCAATGACAGGAGCTGCAGGGTCTTTACCTCCAAGACTACGCTTCGTGGCATCCCTCATCTTTTCTAGACGTTTCCTTTCAAGGTATGCCTTGGCTGACTTGATCAAAAAGTCATAAGTCTTTTCGGCACTCCCTTCCGAGGCGCGTTCGTAGATGGCAAGATCATGAGCTAAAGGCTTAAAGTTCTTCACAGCAAGATGAAAATATGCCTCAAGCCATTTCTTGTCAACTTCCGTTCGCATCCCCGCGATAACAGACTCCCATCGCGTAACAAAACCTTTCAGGTCCTCGTTCACCATCTTAACACATATAAGATCTTCAACATCGTAAATAGCACCGTGTTTGATGGATGTAGCAAAGTACTCATGGAACAACAGTAGGATTTGTCGTCCCTTTATCGGTTCTTTTGCTTTCTCTTTGGTCTCCTTAAACGTGTTCAGTTGGCGAGCAAGGTCCCCCTCCGCACAGTTCGTGAGACTTGAGAGAAGTTTTGCATCCAGCGTGATGAAACCCTCAGAGTCATCCAGGTCCTTAGTGGTCACGGCGTCTTCATAAACCTTACCTAGCCATAACCTGGCCTTGTCCGGCTTAGCGGACACCGCTGACACATTGTCCCGAACTTTAATTCGCCAATCTCTATACCTTTCAGGCGTAGGAAACTTGGGAATGAGGATCTTTTCGGCCTCTTTGGCCCTCTGTTCACGATCCTCTTTCTTCATCTTCTTCAAATGCTTCCTAACCTTACGGGCAAAGGATGAATCCTCAGAAGACGAGCTCGACGATGAAGGTGACTCGGACGGTGACGGTGACCCCTTTTTGTTTTTCTTTTTGTTCTTTTTGCGGGGTGATCTGCCACGCTTCTCTTCCTTGTCATCTTTCTTCTTCTTCTTTTTGTCTTTCTTGCTCTTCTTCTTGTCATCGGATGAAGACGAACTTGATGAACTGGGATGATCAGGAGGACCACCTCCAGCTACTTTCGGAGCATTAACCGCTCCACTTGCAAGAGCTTCACGGTAGGGTTCGCCGGAACTATCAGTCATTGATTTCTGCATTGGTCGATATGGTTGACCAAGAGGTAGCTCGTTTGAACCCATCGGACCTGGAAGAGTTGTCCTGAGGTTGGCCGGTGTTCCAGCAGGCTCATAGTTCCCTCGAGCGGATGTTTCCATTTTCTCTCGAAGTTCTCTAATGAGCTCTGTTTGTGTTCTCAACTCTTCCCTCAGCTGTGATTCACGACTCTGCGCTTGTTGTTGTAATTCTGTCAAGTTGTGGTTGTATAGTTGAGCTTCAGTCAACGCAGCATTCTTGATGACTGCTTCATGTGCATTCATCTTAGCTTGCTCGTTTGCAGCCCAAGATGCAGCTCTTCGTTCTTGTAACTCGAGTTGCTCCTTGACATGGTCGTGTGCCTCTCGGTGAATGGCTTCCACTGTCTTTTTCACTTCTTCATCTTTCTTGGACATCAGTTCCCTGTGTCGCGCTTCTGCAAGTTGTGCGACTTCAGCGGACTTGTCCAGGTTGACGTTGATCATTCTTTGATCGTGGAAGTTCGCCGTTTGGTTAATGACTTGTCTCGAATCATTGTACGTACTCGACGGAACAAAGGCAGGGCTCGTGGGAGACAGGATAATCGCACCAGTCGACGTAGCTGGTGGCAACACGTTCCCATGTGCTTCAACCAATGCATCCTCATCATGCTCTGAGGTGAAGACTTCCGTCTGTACATACGACCCATTCTCATCGGCATCACCGACTCTTGACCTCGATCGATCCGTGCCATCTCGAATTGGTTCGAAGGGCCTGTCCGCCATGCCACCTCACGTGTGCGCAGAACGAGGGTGGGTAGGTGACACAGCTAGAATGGCGCGTACCGCTCTTTGGCGATACGGCTGATAACCTGAATTTACAGGCCAACAGCCTACAAGTACCAACATGTAGAGCGCCCTTTTCTTGAGCCAAACATAGAGGTCAATATGGTATGTACAGGTGTACAATCGTGCAAATACACTATCGGGGAGTCTGTCGCTGCCTCAGGGATACATCATGATTCATGATCTATAGTGGCATGCCAAAAACCTCCCCTGAGCTACCCTGTTGGATACCGTTTGCCTTCGTTCCAAACAGGCACCGCTGATCTCCTCCTTCCCAGTGTGGACCACAAGCACCATCATCCCAACCAGCTGCCAAATCCGGAAACAAAGCTAAAATAGAACAACTCGATTATATGCATACCATGTGTATCCTCCTAGTAGTGAGGCCAGGAGCCCCGAACGTAGCTTCTTGTTCCTAGTAGTAAGGCCAGGAGCTAGTAGCGTCCTTGCTCCGTTCGTAGCTTTTCGCGGCTTCATTCCTTCTTCCCTCCTCTACCCCCCGAGGCGACCAGCCAACGCAGCTTCGTTGCTAGCACCCGTCGCTTGGGTTCTTCCACAGGAACCCGCTCCTGTCGCGGATGCGGCCGTGGACCGACCAGCCAAAACGTCCGACCGACTCGTCCAGCTGGACTCGTCCAGCCATCGTCTCGTTGTCTGAAGATTCATGCAAGACACCTACACTTGCACTGCTCTCAAACGAACGAAAAGAAATACAACACGTAATCAACTTCTTGGACCGTGCTGGTCTAAGTCACGCATCCAACTCGACTCATGTCCCACAACCCGCGACATCCAAACCGCTGCAAGAAGGACGAACAGCGACCAATCACAGGGGCAGCGGGCTGTTTAGGTCCAGTTTCTAGCCACATCTGGCAACATGCTACCGTTGAAAGCTCCTGTTCACAGAAACCTACAACAAATATAGGGTTGGTAAACCAGTTCTAGGTTAGATCTCGCAAAGGACCAACCAGCACAAAGGACCTACCCAAATCAGGACGCAAAGCACCCAAATGACTCTCGTGCCTTAGGCGGCTTCTGAGGCTGTAGGCGCAAGCGGCCCTCGATGCAACGGTTCAGGCGCCACATGGAGGCTTGCAGCAAGTGGTCCTGAAGCGGCAGAAGACGGTCCGAATGGACTGGCGCTGGACTAAGACGGTCCCTGAAGTCCAAACACTCATCTTGGGCGAACGAGACGGCATGCAGCAGAAACCGAGACGGCATGCCAATCTATGTGGGCACTCACTCGATCCTTGCTAGTTACTGCTAGTTGCTTGATGTAGCTTGCCTTGCCTTGGTCGTTGCCTTGCCTTCACCGACATTTGCTTCACCGACATAGCCATAGCAAGTTCGCTTCAGCGCTTGGTCGTAGGGAAGGGTGTTAGCAGCTTTTGGGCGCCGCTGGCCAAAGAACAAACAACAAACAATTGGACAAACATGAACAGCTGTGGTTTCCATGTTGATGTGTACTATAGCAAGAACAGTCCAGAGAGATCTACCACCGGCCTTGCTTCCACAAGAACTGGAAACTACTGGAACTCTTCGGACCCTGAAACCTGGAACCTGGAGCCACTTTATTGCCGGTCCGATTGGCTGTGGTCAATGGCCCAGCAACAGCATCACTACATGCCTCGTAAGTTTTCTGGTCCAAAATGCATTGTGGCAGGCGAACACCCTTGCCATTCAATACCGACGCAGAATCTCGCATCCCAAGACAGGCATCGAACCGTAACTGCGAATCCATGCCTGACTCAAATGAGGCTTCATCCACTTTTTGGTATGTTGTGATTGTGTAATAACATGATTTATGCAATGTGTATTTTGCTTTCGTTTTGCTTTGGACCTTTTCTTTTCTTCGTTTCCTTTAGACCTTTCCTCTTTTTTGTGTCATTAGTTTTTCAATATAATATCATAGTTGAGTAGACCTTATGTTCAATTTCTTTTTGAATCCATGCCCGGCACAATTGAGCTTTCACCACTGATTTTGCTTTGAACCTCAACTCAGCTGTGCCATTTGAGCAGCCATGGCGGTCTTTGTTGTGGGCAAGCGGTTGGAAACGTCAATAATGCAACAATCTACGTACCAAAAAAATTAGAGTATTATATATTAAATATATAAACACACATATATACGTATATACAGTATATATTACATACACACACATCCGTGGTGGGCACAAAACCACCCTAGCCCAGCAAGAGTTGCTTTCAAGTGCATCATTGATCAGCCAACACAACTGCACCATCCGAAAAGAAGAGACACTCAACCTGCTTGGACTCCAAGTCGACGCTAAGGGTCGTCGCACCACCGACGCGGATAGCGTTATGTGTTGTCTCGGTGTGTCCTGGATGGCGGTCATGACGCGATAAGGTAAGTGCTTCAAGTCGCCCTTCACCACACAGAAGACCTGCAACGTCTCAGGTCGACGACGGGATAACGAGAGACGGGATGGATGGACATAGCCTTGCTGTGCCAGGTGCCAAGAACCGTGGGTCTCTTAAATCAAGACATGTTTTGCTCGCAAAGGCTGTGTTCGCCTTTAACAAGGGAAAACCACTGCCTGAAGGAAGAATAATGGGTTTGGGGGTTAGCATCCTGTCATAGCTGAAACACCTCTGAAGCCTAATCCAGTTTCTTTTTTCGGCCGTGGTGGAGTGCAATCATAAACACATAACTAACGACAGCAAAGTATTCACATATGGAGGCGTAACATGTAACCTGACAAAAGCAACGCAACTCAGAAAAACAAGCGATCTATGATGATCTATGCCTTTCTCTGTGAACACCCCACAAACATCCAACTTGACTATCTCTTCTGGGAAGTTTGATGTCTGTGGTTTCATCAACTCTTGTCAGATCCTGTCTTACTTCTCATGAATTTTGGGGAGTTCCAGTTCTAAATTGTGCTTCCTTCTTGCTCCCTTTCACTCCAGTGAGCAGCCACCACTGAAGATCTGTGGCAAATCTTGTACACATGCTCTGAGGACTGGATTCAACACCCATGGGAAACCAATTGCACTCACCACAGGCCCTTCTGCTCTCTTCGTGCGAACCACATGTAACGATTATAGCCATGTCCGAAAAACATCGCCTCGCACAAGCTTTGCGCCACCACGGTGAAGGGTTCCAGGTCATTGGTGGGCACAGCACTGAAGAGACCGCCCTCCACCAGCAGCGCGATCCGCCGACCTGGTACCGGTGTTATGATCGGTCCTACCAGGACGTCGTGGAGACATGGTTCGCATGGGATCACATCGTAAGGACGGCCCTTGGGACGTGGAGAAGGAATCAAATCAACTGAGCATCCCAAAAGTCCTGCTGCGAATGGGTCCAGGCGCACTCCCCGACTCCGTTGACTTGATTTATACTGTACACTGTATACTTCTTTTCTTGTCAGGGAGAGTCCAGGCCCAGGAGTGGTCAATCTGAAAAACGTCGGCTGCAAAGATCTCCCGGCCGTCGACCTGAAAACGAGAAACAGAAGATCTCCTCAATGACGCCGCATTCCGTGATGAAACGCCCCCAGTGGTGAGGTGTCTTTGTTCTCGGTCCTCCCTCCACCGTCCGCTTCGGCACTCCCAGATGGTCCATCCACCTCCGGCCTCGCGGCCGCGCACCTTGCTTGGAAGATGGCCTGGGTGCGGGAGAGGGTGGTCTTTGGGAAGAGTCTACAGGAGCAAGAAGCTACTAGGGGCTCCTGGCCTTGCTACTATACGTAGGAGCAAGGACGCTACATTAGGTTATGTCTTTGGCAAAGTGTCGTACAGTTGGTCGGTGCCTCGTGCTGCTTGACAAAGCTCAGGGCACGTGGCTCACACTGCGACTGCGATTCTATGGCCATCTTAATCGGCGATCTGCAAGTTTTGCCTCGAAACTCCTGTCCACTCGAAAGCATCTTGGTTGTCGGTGAAGGGCACAAAGCATCGAGATTTTCCCATGTGAATGTCAGCGCCTCTGCACGTTCATCACCTCTTTTGGCTTCCGGAGCACCGTTCTCGGCGCGTTCCGGTACCGTCTACGAGGTCGTGGTAACACCAAAGGTATGAACCAATCTCATGACCTGGGGCCCGGGTCTACCCGATCGAGATCAGTCTCCACTTCAACTCCACAGCTCGGTGCTGCACCACGCAGCTTACGCATAGTTGCAGTCCGGCTCGGCTGGATGAAAGGCCACCGTCACGGTGCTCTTGCCCTCTTTTCGCATCCAATCGCCATAGAGTTGGGACTGATGGATGCCGTCTGACATATACCATCATGCATGTCAAACCAAAAACGCCGCTTTTCCACGTGCCGTCTACGCCAAACGTGATGTGGTTCATGATCAGAACGCTTCTTGGCACCCGCCACATGGTTTCCCACATCTTCACACCCCAGCGATGGTGGCACCCGTCCTTCCGTCTCTCGCCATGAGCCGATGCCCGGTGGGTGGACCGTTCTTAGGAATAGACACCTCATACGAGTACGACCACTGCTTCCTATCCTCCTTGAACAAATAGCACAGTGCACAAGTAGAGTAAGTAGAGTAAACATCCCATTTTTTTGTTGGAAGGAGGGTGCCTTCTTCACACGCAAGCATGGGGTCAGCCTTCTCCAAGAACTTGTTCCACCGGAACTTCCCAACGATTTTTGCGCCACGGATCCAGTGGCCACCCGACAGCCCTTCCCTGAAGCAGTGGGTACCTGTGTGTATATATAAGATTATATAAGAACAAGACATGATGAGGATCAGGAATGTAATTTGTTTAGAACCCATGACCGACCTGTTTCACACACCGACCTCTTTCACAGAAATATCATGAAATATCCTGTCTTTGACCCAGTGGCTTTGTGAAATATCATGTTACTCCTGGGCATCCACCTCCCCACCCGGTGCAATGGCACAACGCCCGGGCCTCAGCTTTCCACCTGCCTGGGAGTGTCAGCGGCTTGGACTTGGACTCCCCTTCCGGTACAGCGAACGAAAGCGAGAGGACAAAGGTAACCACACACCAGCTGCACATCGCTGGGTTTTGCCAAGCGATGTGAGAAGTGGGCTCAAAAGAAGGGTACGCAAACCCACTCCAAACTCGTTGAAATGTGTAGGACCGTCTATGAACACTTCCCCCTGACAAGGCAAAGAGCTGCAAATGAAGAACACAGAAGGGTTCAGCCCGCTGCAGCTAGCAAACAATAGGTTCACGGAGTACCGTTGGTTCCAAAACCTTCCCGGACCGTCTTGTTGAGTCCCCACCCGACCTGCTGATCCGCACCTCAGGATCCAGGTGCCAGAACTCCACCACCCCGCGTCGGAGCACCCACAACTTCTCCTGAGTGCTGCAGTGCTGTCTTCGGGGTCGAACACGTCGATGTCGCCGAATTGGCGCGAGCTAGCGTGGTGCGAGCTGCGAGCTTGCGGCCGAATGAGCGCGATGGCGTAGAAGTGTAGCCCCAACTTGATTCGGAAAATGTTTTGAAGAATCTTGGAGTATCAAGATCCGGCTATGCGTCTTGGAGACATAGCAACCAAAAGACCAGAAACCAATGAGGAGGGTCTCCGTGGCTTTTGGAGGGGTGTGTGCACCCCCTGCCATGTTTTCCAAGTTGGTCCCGCTTTTTCCCGAACAGCTCCGATGCCAAGCTTCATTGGTCCTCTCCCCTTGCTTCATGAAGACAAAGCCCTTGGGCACTGACTGATGCTTGAAGTAGTAGGATGCATGTGGCTTCCCAAAGCGAGACTGCCTGAAGTGTGGAGTGACTGCAAAGAACTGCGGAGATCTTCGAGCTGAAGGTCCAGGACGGAGAGTCCAAACTACCATGCCAAAGAGGAGAGTTCTTGCAGCTTTGTGTATTTGTCGGCAAGTAAAACAAAAAATAAGGAAACTTAACATGGAGGAAGTACTATGTACTCACTTGTTACATCTGGGTAAACCTCAGTCATTGCCACAAGAAACAACCAGGATTCATCTGCCTGACCATCAGCCTGTAGCTCTTCGCAGCGCTTTGATCTTCTTCATCATTTAATCACCGACCCAAACGCCAATCCAGCTTAGGAAAACATCTGACCAGCTTCATCCAGCTTCGTTCGCCGACTCTTTGCTCAAGACCCGCGGGCGTTGATGAGCCAGGTGTTGCGTTGCATCAACAGGAATCCTAATGAGTTCTAAAAGCCTGTTATGCCATCCACCAGAACTAGAAGTAGGTGTAGTGACCGGTGTAGTGATTGTTGGGATCGCACACTGGCCACCAGTCACCTTTTCCTGCGCTTCTCGTGTTTGAGCGGACTCCCAAATTTCTACATAGCCCTGCTCCTACATCCCCAGTTGCAAACAGCAAGCCCAGATTTTTTCTGCTCTTTTTTAAACACAGTACTTTTTTAAAACCTATCTGTTCGTTCTACGCCGTTTTCCTGGGTTCCACACACCGGTGCCCCGGGTTCCCCGGTTTCCCCGCGCTGTCGCCCCAGTGGCTCGGGCAGATCGGCCATGCCCGGGACGTGGCGACGCAGGAAGCCTGGTGAGAAGATTCGAACGGGAGGCGAACAAGCGGAGGTTGAGTCGTAAGATCACAGTATACATGGAGTGTCGAATTCGCTTGAACACGGATTATGGATTTCATTGAGACTTACTTTGATATCTTTGATGCCATCGTATTGCGTGGTGGGTAGTCTCTGTCAGTGACCAAATCTCAGCTACTGGACGACAGGAGATGTAGAATTAGATGGTATAATCCCCGCGACGGGGATTTCTGTAGAGCCCCAGCTGCTGGGGTCCATGGGTTTTCTCCATTGGATTCACTGCTTGGAGGCCATCTCTACTAGTAACAAGAAGCTACTGGTCGATATTTTGAGCACCTCCATGAGATCTACATCTGTCGTCTCCGGTGTGTCCAGCCTGTGGTCTCATCCTTCTGCTTTCCGAGATCGGATTTCAGAAGTGAATCGAAGTCCTGACCAACAGCGTCAGAACACTGGTGGAACAAATCAGAATCTGACAAGTTGACCCCTTGTGTGGAAATCCAAAGAACAAACATGGACATGTTTGGATGTAAAAACCATGAAAGACCTCAACAGGTTCCGCACAATGAACACGGAAATGGTTTGGGTCCCTGTCCAAGCACTTGAAACATCTTGAAGTCGGGGCGACGGTCTGTGGGGCCGTTTTAGCCCCTCCTGTCGAGTGATCACCAAGAACTGCGTGTCCTCTAAGCCTCAGTTCGCGGATCGCGGTTCCGGAGAGAGGTCGCTTTGATCCACCGAGGATCCTCCCCCATTGCGCAGGACCGCGCCACCGCGAGGCGGACCCGTCGCGACCAGACCGACGGTGGGAGTGGAACCAGGCGAAGCCGACTGAGCGGCCGGACACTGGGCAGAACCGGCGCGTGGCTGATCACCCATCAGTGCCAACTCACCAAAGAGTTGCCCTCGGGTCAGCTGCACCACCTGGCTTGTCATCTGGAAACGAGCGAACATCTGCACAGCTTGCAAGGTGGCAACCAGTCGAAACGAACGATGGAAGGGATTGCAAGTGCTTGGCGAAAAAGCCAATAGTCAATTTGACACGTCCTAGGTTTCAGGATGCTCATTGTCACAGTGGTCAAAGGAAAGGCTAAGTAGCACTTACAGGACATCCGCTGCTTGATATATGGAAAACCACCAGAATTCCTCCAGGAAACCAGCAACCCTAGCAACACAGCGGTTTGGACATCGCTCCAGGACTTGTCTAATAATTGTCATTTTTACCACTGTAGTCAAACAGAACAAAAGCATCCTGTGAGCTTCAAAGCACGATGCCCTGACCCATCGAACCTGAAACCGGGGGGGGTCTTGTCTTAGACCGAACGGAACGCGCTGCTGACCCGACTTGCACCTGCGTACCGAAACGGGAATTGGGATGAGACACGCTGAAGCCTGGCGAGCGACGCATCCGTCCGGTGACGCATCCATCGGGGCGGTGCGAATGTGGGACGCTTCAGTCGACTCATTTGGGATCCGAAGTTGAATTGTTGCTTCTGTAGACTGTAGACACTTCGTAGGGCCTCTGCATCCGAAGTAATACTGCTTAATTCAACCATTTATTAACCCTTGGTTTCCAATTGCATCTTTCCGAAAACTGAGATGTTCCACACCGTTCAAAACCCTAAACGTGCAATATAAACTGTGAAGCTTACTTTCCTCTTTCCATGTAAAGGCCTGAGTTGAAGCGAGGCTGGATCTACAAGATCCCCCAAACCCCACACACCATGCCTCCTACACGTCAGTTTCTGCTGGCCAGTGAGGACATTCAATTGGGAATACATGTTCCATCCACAAGTGGTGGTTTAGGAACTGTTGATACACATATCACATACCATTGATAAACAAAACTACAGTTGGTATCTATCTTGTGATAGCACGGTGGGTTAAGCTTGAGCCAAGCATTGATCAGCCAACCATTGATCAATATTGATCATCTTGAGGTGAGGCAGGTTGGGTGTTATGAAATTCAATCAAGTCTGAATCACTACAATCAGTCTCTCTACACCTGGTACCGTCACAACTGCCTCTGGCACATACAAACTGTCACACATCACCACTCGATGTGAACATCCAAGCTTCAGATTGGCCCAGTCTTCGTGCAAAGAAAGCCAACCAACGCCTCACGTATGACCTCTCTCCACATCCTCGTGCATCTCTCGGGAAACGTGGACTTGCGACGTCGACGCAGCAGCGACGTAGCACGCGGACCTTCTGATTTCTCTGGAAGGTCTTTGTCCCTAACTCTTCCATTGCCCTGGATCGTATCGCTGCTTCCTCCCAACGGGCTGTCACCGTAGGAAGAGGGCTTCGGACTTGAGTCTTAGATTTTGGATGAGCTGCGTCTGTCATCTTGACCTTAGAGCTTGAGTCAGCACATGAGCAGTCCACAAGTGACTTGACAACTACCGAGAAAGACAGAGAGGAGAGGAGAGGAGAGGAGAGGAGAGGAGAGGAGAGGAGAGGAGAGGAGAGGAGAGGAGAGGAGAGGAGAGGAGAGGAGAGGAGAGGAGAGGAGAGGAGAGGAGAGGAGAGGAGAGGAGAGGAGAGGAGAGGAGAGGAGAGGAGAGGAGAGGAGAGGAGAGGAGAGGAGAGGAGAGGAGAGGAGAGGAGAGGAGAGGAGAGGAGAGGAGAGGAGAGGAGAGGAGAGGAGAGGAGAGGAAGAAAGCTCAGAAGAACAAGCAGAAGCAATATCATCATGATCATAGCGCGAAAGCGCCAATCACTCTGGGGTGATACCATTGGTGGTCAGCCACTCTGACCACTCTGCAATGCGTATGAAACTAGACAGAATCTGTCCTTAAAACAACGACATCACGAGCATGTCTGCAAGAAGTCCGGGCGGTGTCCAGGTTGCATCTGGGAGAGGAGCCTTGAGGCTTACAGCCGCACAGGAACATGACCCGGCTTCCACTTGCTCGATCCGCAAAAATTAGAAGGCGAAACCAAAGGAACTCCTCCATTGTCCAGCTGATGTGCATCAATGGAGGACGCTGACGCTAACACAACCCATATTCCAATGAGGCCCACCAGCTACCATCGTTCAGATTGACCCGCCGAAACCTATGCTGCTCCGCTGGCCATGGATCTCCCCATGATTGAAGCGTAGCGGCGTAGCCCAGATTCCGCCAGCCAAAGTCTGCATCTCTTCCACTCTCCCTTAAGGTGGATTCCCAAAACGGAAGAAGGTAGGAATGGTCGGAAGAGGAAGAGGAGGCCAAAGCGCCGAGCTCGGTCCCTCCTTCTCTTGCTCTTCCCTTCCAATCCTTTTTCCCCAGCTGTTCCAATCTCCCACACGTCGACCAGCGATGACCAGCGCGGCAGCACCCAGTGCCTTCATGGGTCTTGGTGCGTATGATGGTCTCTTGACTGCGCTGGCTCCGGCCGCCAGGCGTTTGGCAACCTGGACAAAACCGGGGAAAAACAGCAGTGATAGTAATTACCACTGACATTGACAAGGGTCAGTGGGAAATGCCACCGGTGGCGTGAATTTTCAGTTTTGGGCGAAGGAAATTTAGAAATTACCAGGAGTATCCAGGAGTAGTTGAGTAGTAGCTCCTGGCCTTACTACTATAGGAACAAGAAGCTGCTAGGAACAAAGGGCATCACTACGAACGGAGCATTTCGGGCATCGCTACGAAGGTAGCTCTTCTCCTTGCCTTACAGCGAACGCATCCCAATTCAGGGTGCCCCAGGTGTCTCATCATCCCATCAACATGTGCCGGATATGGTTGACCCTTGACCTGCAGAAGTCTCTTAGGACCCCGGAGCCCCCCCGGACCGTAGCTGTTGGCTTTGGGGAACTGCCCGGGTCGCTCCCCTGATGGAGAAGATGGAGACCCATCACATGTGAGGTCAGCCTCGGTTTCTTTTGGCATACCAATAATTGCTTTCCTTTAAATGGTAATAGCAATGGCCTCCAGTAGATAATCTAGAGTATAACTTACTGTAGTCTTCCTGTTTTCAGGAATTCTTCTCTTCGGTATTCTCCCTGTCAAACACGGAAGATGGTGATGAAGACGGGGGGGAGGTCCCCAGATCCGATCTGCCAAGTGTCTGTCAAACAACTCGTGCGAGGGTTGACGCCTCCATGCGACGGTCCGATGACGCGAGGATCGCAGCCCCAAACGGGACACCTATTCTCGCCTCGACCGGGGGTTCCATTGCTTAATCACAGTGCAAAAGAATTCATGTTCGGAGCCTGCATGAATGCAAGGGTTTTCTTGGGCGCTCTTATGTGGGGATGCCGGCAGGATGTGTCCGCTATATGAAGCTTCAACTGTTGAGCGCTGTTCGGTAGCTTTCCGCAAACATCTCATTGTAGAACCTGAAAGGAATGCACACAGATATGACCACGCCAACAAATCTCACCAATTTGCTGTGGAACACAAACGTGGAGGTTGATCACCGACCATCCGTCGCTCCCACCGACGTAAGCTTCGGCCTGGCGCATTCGGTCGAAACGAAACCACTCGGCGCTGGCTGAGATGATCCGAAAGACTCCGCTCAATCTCTGGGCTATTCTTGGCCGATTTGCACGGCGCTTTCGCAAGCCGCGTACCGTATGCTAGCATTGGCATGATGTCTCTTCGGACAAACCCGTCGACAGAGAAAGGCATGCCAGTACGGGTGTGGGGTTATTCCGGCCAAATCTTCCACCAAACCCATGTGGATTTCTTGTGACATCCACAAGTTGGTCGAAGCCTAGGCGACCAATCCCATGCCTCATATCATCCACACTGCTCTTGGTGGCAAAGCGCTCGGAGTGCTGGTCCTGGCAAAAAAAAACGTTCCGATGAGAGAGAGAGAGAGAGTTCACGTATAATTCAGTCGTCTCGCAGTTCGTTCTCATTGGTTCTCCCTGGTTTGTTGAAAAGAACTATAAGTGGAACATGTGTGGCACCTCACCTGGGCAACTCTCGCCACACTGGGCAAGTACTTGCGACCAGTTCTTGGAACTACGTGTGCCATTGGGGCAGGACAAAAGGACCTGGCCAAAATCATCCAAAATCCAACCCGCAAGATGCTGCCAAAACTGACTGGCGACATCTTCTCCAACACCAAAGACAAATACATCCTCATGACAAGCACATGTTTCGAAACACATATTGAAATAGAATTCTTCACGACCAGCGACTTCGAACGCATCGGTCAGGCGACTTCTTCGCCTCGGGGATGTTCAGCACCAAGCTGCCGCGACTGCGGCCCAAGGACAAGCTTTTGGAGAGATCCCGGCCGCCCTGTGGCGCCCGCGGATTCGAGGCGCGGGTTGCGCCACTTGATGCACGAAGTGAAGAATCAGTCCTTTTGAGCTGAAACAAATTGAAAAAACACTCATGTCCAGGAAAATTGGGATGATTTGGAGGCATGTCCGGTTTCTGAAACGAAAAACACTGGGGAAAAAGCCTTCAACGCACCAGAAATGGTCACCGGTCTTCAGGGGTTAGAGAAGTCTACCTTGGCCACGTCCAAGTTTGAGCATCAACAGGACCAGCTCCTCACTGATCCAATGATTTGCTCTTTTGGAGTCAGTGGAACCGTTCTGTGGGCATGAAGAGAGGCACCTGGACTGTTCTGGACCTTCACCAGTTTTCTTCCTATCTGAAACGCCTCAAGTTGATTGTCACGGGTCTTCTGGTCTTCTGGTCAACCCAAATATGCAATCGGATGTTGGAATGTTCCGCGCTTTAGAAGATTCAGATCATGCTACTATACACTAAATCAACTATACTGGGAACTGCCTGGACTTTGTTAATTTTGTTCTTTGATGTTCTTTGTTAGTGTTCGCCCAAACAATCCCGCCAATCACCTGCGAGGAGAGGCGCAATCATGAATGCCATTCCCACTCTTGGATTTGCTCAAGCTCGGGCTAGGGCACCAGAAAACGTCACAAAGAACAGGGGCTTCAGGGGCTTCAGCGACTTCCACTCCCCTAGCTATCAACATTCACCGAACCACCCACCAGCACCACTTCCTCACCACCAAGCTCCACCTGGAATATCCTTTCTGAGCCCACCCACTGCGGACCGCGGAAGCCAAGTGCGCGCGCTCCGCCACCGCGCTCGTCGCCACCTGGCTCTTCTTCGAGTCCGCCCGCTCGCTGAAGCGGCTCTCCGTGGAGCAACGCCGCAAGGGGCCGCTCTGCTGCGAGGAGCGGCGGCTCGGAGCCGCACTGCGGTCGTCCTGGCCGCGGGGCGGAAAAGCGCGGGGCGGAAGAGCGCGCTCGGTCGAGCAGAGTGAGCGTCGAATGATGTATACCTAGACTGCCTTTCGGCCATACTTTCCGCCTGAATGTGACAGAGGCTGTTTGACCACTGAGTGACGAATGGTTCTTAAGCCCAAATCCAGGTGCGGGATCTATTTCGCTTCAATTCATTCTCTCTCATCTGGAGCTGGCGGTCGAGGTCCGGCGGGGAACACTGCCATCCTACACTTGCGGTTGAGGTCCGGAGGAGGAGACGGAGGAGGAGGAGGACGATGACGACGAGGAGGACGACGGTAGCTGACATAAAATCTAACAAACCTCACCTGACAGGTGTGGAAAAACATATACAATCACCAGAAGTCACATGTCAGATCATGTCAGGGTGGTGTGGCTCGTCCCATCCAGGGGCCGTGGATGTGACCGGGGCACCCAACTCCTTCCTCCAAGCCCTTAGGCATCCTGTCGAATGTGACTCCTGGATCGAATCGAAACCTTGGAGAGTGCATTGCGCTTGTGTGGAGGGTCTTCAAGGACTCAGCTTCCGCTGGTCTCACCCGATTCCTTTCGCCCGATTCCGACCAGCGAAGCTGTCTCTTTGGCAGCTGCTATTTGGCCGTCATAGGCCCATTCCCAGCCAAACGCTCCAATCACGGGATTGGTGAGAAACCCCAGACCCTGCAAAGTGTCGCAGGAGCAGCTATAGGCAGTGCACATGGGGGTTGTCCAACAAAGCTCTTCTTTTTGAGCTTGTATCGCCGGCCTTTCGCGACCCTTTCGCGTTTGCAGAAAAACCACAGGTTTTCCTTTCGCGCATTGTGATGAGCTTGTTCCATTGCACTGAGTTCACAGTGTTTGGGACGTCTAAGTCCCTTTTAGTGCGCTGAGAAGCAGGCTAATTACCCTTTGTCAATTCATACTTGAAACAAAGGTTTCAAGGCTTATTTCAAGGCCATGGATGGGCAAATGCCCTTCCAGGCAATGCGCTCTTTCGCGGGCCTACCGCCGGCCTTTCGCAGCCCTTTCGCGAAAATCCGTGTTTCTGTTCGGGAAAAAGGATGTGTCATGTATTATGCACATTGTATGTAAGTCTAGGTTGGCACATGTCTTTCGCTGTCCTATCGCCGGCCTTTCGCGGACTGCAGTTTCCCTTTCGCGACATGTTTGTTTAACAGTTGATCGAAATTCCTTCACTGGCAATAACGGACGGCCCTCACATGGCTGCACATCTCAACACTAAGCTACGCCAAGAAAACGTTCACCAAACACACCACCACTCTCCGCCACGTGGGCCGCACGTGACATCGGGGTCTCCACCACCGTTGGGAAAAACCGCTCAGAAACCGAAACGGCCTTTCCGAAACGACCCAATGACGTCACTTCTTGCGCGTGCAGAACAAGAAGACCTATTATATACCGTACCGCGCGTTTCCAGAGTGGAGCGGGGGAACCCAGCTGCTTCGCAGAGTCGGAATCGGAGCAGAGTCGGTTCGTCCAGTGGCCTCGCGGCCCTGGTTACTCTTCTTGGAATCGGCGCGCTCGCTGAAGCGGCTCTCGGTGGAGCAGCGCCGCAGCTCGTGGTGGCTCTGGTGGGACGAGCGGCGACTCGCCGGAGCACTGGGGTCCTGGAGCGAATCGAGTGGGGAAGTTGCGGCCAGGCTGGCTATGATGAAACCCTGAAGTACAGCTGGTCAACTGGGGTGAGGGTGAGGCAAACTTTCCGGGACTCCAAACTTTCGGTGCTTCAAATGCGGATCAAAAGGTGGATCCCTTGATACCTGCTTTCCTGAGCAAATCTCTTGAAGGGTTCTGGCCTTGTGAGTCTTCAGCGGCAAATTTCATTCATGGAGTCCATGGTGAATCTTTATGTTTACCCCCAAGGCTCCCCATCACTCTTCTCACATCGCCATGCTGGAGAATTGTTCCCTTCGCGATGGGTGGAGCCCAGCTCAACTCAGAGAGCAGCAGTCGGTGGGAATCTCCAAGTTGAGTCTCGAAACACCGAAAGCGGAGCGGGCCCAGTTGGCCCCAACCAACAACGACGGTTTTCGCTTCGTCGGTTTTCGCTTCGTTCGGTCGCCCACCGAACGATGGCAAAACGACCGAACGGTGGGAGGTTTGCCATCTCCGGAAAAAGGCTTCTGATGCACTGTGAAGGCTGTATTTTATCTTCCCAACACCATCTCTTGGGATACCAAATACCAAATGCAACAGGGTAAGACCCTGGTCAAGACCCATGTCCCATCTTGCGATTGACTGGAGTGACCCGCAACCAATCATGTGATATATTCCTTGGATATGATATGGAGATAAACGATCTTGTTTGGCAACCCCACAACAATTGTCAGTCGCAGACATGAATTTATTGCTAGATTTGTACATTCACAGCAGACCCCCCCGCTTCCTCTCCACCCATTTGCCAGAACATTTCGGATGAACACCTGGCCACCGGGGCCAGGTAATCTCTACAACCCCCACGACCGACCTTGGACTGCCACATCGTGCCGCTTGGACCTCGTCGTCGAGACTGGCGTGGCCGTTCGTCCTGGATGGAAGCGTTCATCTCGCCACTGCCCTTGGACTCAGTCCACTCCAGCGACGTGCGTCGGCTCATCGGCTCCTCCTGTGAAACCGGACAAAGGACGTCCGCTGACAGGTGAGTTCGAACGAGTCCGAACCAACGTCACAAACATGGGGTCTGTGACTGTCTGTGATATTTTATATTTCTTTTTTTTTGGGGGGGAAGTGCTTCATGATGCTCCATGCTTCTCGTTCGTGCCAGGCTTGGTTTTCACATTCAACCATTGAGCGGGTCTCGATCTGCCCCAATGCACAGTAGATTCCTGCCTGTTACCTTGAGTGGTCTGAAGATTCACCCTGAAGCCCAAAAGTTCCTTCAAGATCCACATCAACTGGAGATGTCTTGCCCACCTCAACTCAGCAAATTCACTTAATAACTTTAAACAACAAAGCCCTCCGGTCTGTCAGGTCCTTTGAAAAGGCCAAAAACCACACAGAGATGAAACAACCGTATACTGTGTGAGTTTTCATGCCCCACAAGCAAAACCCGTGAAACAAACGATCCACACACCGACCCAAACCAAAAACACTTGCCCGGCACCACACACCGACTCGGACCGCAGCTTTCACGCCCGAAGAAGAAGGTCAGAACCAAAACACCCGCCACAAATGCATCCGTGCAACAAAAGGGCGTTTGGGGTCCGCGCTTCCCCCACCGGACCGCCGATGCACGCGGGCGGAGCGGGTCCGTCGGGTCCGGCGTGCGGGGTCCGCGCCTCCAAGTTGCTGCTGCTCTGCCGTTCGTAGCTCACCCGTCGGCCGCTCTTCACCGAGCTCCGGCGGCTGGCGATGTCCTCAGGTGAAGCCCAGCTCCGCCGAGAACGTGGGGCCGAGCTCCGACCCCGTCTGCGCGTGGTGATGGAACATGCATTGAAGTGTTTGAACTGGATTAAACTGTGTGCCCTTTTGCTTCCGTTCCGATTTGGGGGCGGAAAGAGGACCTTCTATGTGCTTCAGCGCGGAAAAGTGGGTCCTTGACCAAACTGTTTTCTTGGTCCGGCACTCTGGGCTCCAAGAGAATCTTCAAGCCCCAAATAAGGATATCGGGCCTCCAATCCTTCAGAACACTTCGTGATGTTTTTGGGAAGTGCAGCAGCCTCCCAAGAAGTCTGCTGCCAATAAGCACCATGCATTCTTATTCTTGGTCCATCTGCCAGCTTTGGCTCCTCCATCTTCGATGTCAAACGACTTTCTGAGGTCTCAACGTCGAGAACGTAAGTGGAGCGGGGGTGAAGATGCCCATCCTTATAAGGCTTAAAGTGGAGAAACATGCAACAAACATCACAATTGGCCACATGTTTAGGTGTTCCAGTCGCCTTTTGCATCATCTTGACGGCAGCCTTCAAAGGGTAGCCTTTTCAGGCTATAGTAGTGCTATCCCTGGGCCCACAAGGAGGGCCCCTTCCGAGAGCCGTGGGACAACGAGCCCTTGGACGACCGCCACCGGTCCCTCTATTTCGGACCCAGGTACCATGGAACTATTCAGCGCCGACCTGACGGGCGGCCCGGAGCGTTCGGTGGGAGAAGGCTCCAGGAGCGTTCGGTGGGATGGGATCTAACATCTTGAGACCAGGCAATGAGCATTTTCCAAGAACATCTCATACTTTCCTTATATAGTTCCACCCTCATGGGCACATGGAAATGTCCTTCATCTTGCAAACCCTGCCACCCTGCGCTGCCCACCCTGAACCGTCAGCTGAAGCTCAGCCGCGATTGGCGCGAGGCACTGTCTTTGGATGCGGATTGCGCAGGTGTTGGACCCAAACTCCAGCAAAATTATGGCAAACAAAAAAAAGGCTCGGGCTGAATTTTTGCAAATACTGCAGCACTCCCGTCCCCCCAGCACTCCTCCCCAGTGATCCGTTTTGCTCACCAACCAGTCGTCCGAAACCCGCGTGCCTGGCCGCGGAACTGCGCCGCGACTCGTTCTCCGGGCGCCGGAAGGGGTTCCTGAGGAACGACGAAGGACACCGCGAAGTGGGCCAAAGTGAGGTGAATTCAGGGTTTTTCAGTGGTGCTCAAGGTTTCCACCAGGGTGCATGAAGGGCCTCATATAATGATTCTCTCGATCTCGCTTTTTTGCTCGACTGGTGGTGTGCTCTTCTTGCACCTTTTCGGGCGCAAAATACACATCCACCAAAACACGATGCACGCCAAAGAATGTGCGGTGTGCTTCTTTTCTGGCTCTTTTCTACTGGATGCCATGCCTGCAGGGTGCCACAGTCCATCACTGGAGGCCGGACCCGAACAAAGAACAAACCTTGACATCCCAAGTGGACTTTGAATGACTGGCCACTCAATTTCTATTGGGATATGCTAAACGTTCCAAACTCCAAGAAAGACCTAATATAGCACAAAAGAAAGCACGATACACCAATGTGGACCCAAACACCCAAAATCTCACACGTCCGACACACGATACATGATATCAGGACACAATTTAAAGAACGCAACATAACACGACACACAGCAAGACTGACCGTGCCCAACTAACCGTGCCCTCCGAGCCCTCGTGGAGACGCGTTTAAAAAATCGTCACGAGCGGCGTGAGGTTCAACGAGTCCCTGTCATCGGAGGAATCGGACCTCGGGAGCTGCCACCAGGGAGCAGAAAGGGCGGGCGGGCTTGTTGGTGTTTCATGTCAGGTTTCATGGCGCGTGGAGGTCTAAAGATGTCTGAAGATCAAGCAAGTTTGGTTCGAAACTGTCGCAGTGTCCATGATTTCATTCTTTTGGAGATCATTTGGCATGTCTGAATGGAGAGGGCTTTCAATCCACTGGGAGATCATTGTCCTTCTTGACCACAACTCGATAACGTGCTAGCACCTCCAGCCAACTAAAAACAACATATTTTTTCCGACAAGGATGAGGAGGGGGTTGTGGGTTGCGTAGGTAGGTGTCCCCACATTTTTTTTCCGAACCACGTTCAGCCAGCTAGGAAGCCTCACCGAGCCTGCCTGCTTTTCGCTAGTGTTGGGTCACCCCCCAAACAAATCCAAACAACCGATTTTGGTGAATCCCTGGGTAAAACCAGGCCTTCAAGACCTATTGGTTTCGAAACCCACCCTCTGGACCGCCGCAGCTGAGCAGCAAAGCATCCGAGAACGGGCCTGGGAGACCAATGCGGTGCCCGCCGTTTGGAAGTCGCAAAGGTCGAACAGGTGAAGCTGCGCACGATGGTTTTCCTCTTCCAAAGACGTCGGAGGGGTCATAGTAGGCACGAGATGTATCGACTTTGATTGATCAACTGGGCACCCGGATCATTCAAGTGGTAGACTGGTAGACACGTCTAACATACTCGTTGTAAGCTCCATGGCCACATCCCGCGTCTCCTCTCCATGGCCGTCCCCCGTCGGGCCGTTCCCTTGGCCTTCACCCGTGGTCTCTCGCTGCATCCGCAGTGGAGGGCCGTCCCTGGGAGTGCCTGCCACCGTTGGGATTGAATGGGGAGACATGTTTGATCATGTTTGTGTGGGTGAAACAGAAAACACCCTGAAGACCGAAGGAAAAACAAAACTGACCAAAAATACAGCTGCAGCATGTTACAGGCACCTTGAGGATGTCTGTCCATTTATTTGCGAGTGTTTCTCTTTTTTCTGCAGTTAGGTCGTGGTTCATGGAAATTGTTCCTTCGTCTGGCCGACAACAAATCACGAATTCATAGAAACATGGAGTTTGTAAACGGTTCACAAGATCACATTCAGACGTGCGCATTCGTTGCAAACCGATGGATCCATTCTTACAATCTTAAGCTTATATTTTTCATTCTGCATCATTTTCTCCACTGTGGGTTTTTGCCACAGCTAGATTCTCTTGAACAAATTGAACCAAACCGTTCCTTCAGTCGTTGCTAGTTTTTCAGCGGCCGTCGCAACAGCAATGGCAATGGAAAAAACAAACGCATGTGCTGTCTTATTCGCAAGCACTGGTGCCACCACAGAAAAACACACACAATGACCGTTCCAACGAAGGCACTGGTCGATGGTCACCGATGCTGGTTTTGTACTCAGCAATGGGACAGAATTGGGGGGCCCGCCCACCGAACCAATCAAAAGCAAGAAAACAAGTCATGGACTGTTGTGTCCAAACGAACATAACATGCCACTGAAAAATCGAAGCATGTTCCTCTGCCCGGCGTAACGCTGCATCGGCTCGTATCTGGTCTTTGGGCTCACATGCATCACTTGGATATGTAACGGCTGGGGCAAAAGAATCTTCCCCAGAAAAAAATCATAAAACATCAAAATACCCATACGCAAAACCAGGATCACCGCGCGCATTGGCCTTCGCGGGAGTCGATGTCCGGCTGTGTTTCTTCATCGGGTTTGACCTCGGCGTGAAAACACGCCCGACGAAGAAATCTTTCACCCGGATTCAGCAGATGCCAGCATTCGTCCGGACCGGTTTTTCATTGCCATTATGGAATCTTCCAATTCTAATTTCAATTCTTCACCAAGTTTGGAAAACCACCAGAACAACCAAACAAACAAGTCGAGGAAGTAAATTACACTGGCATAGACCCACGGATAGCGGACGTATAGGGAAAAGACTCCTAGCTCCTGAGGGAAAATATCTGCAGTGCCTGGCATGACATGATGTCATCCCTGGCATTGGCATGACATGATTTCATCCCTGCATGACAGGATGTCGTCCCTGGCATGACACCATGTCATCCAGGAAGGGAAACGATGCAAAGTCCCTCAACACAGTCGATCACCCCGATCCAGCATCGGCACCCGCACCAGCACGCCCAAACAAGACGCCGATCCATCCCTGGCGTGACCAGATTTCACCCCTGGCATGACATGATGTCGTCCCTGGCGTGACACCTTCATCGACGACGGGAAACGACGCCAAGTCCCCAAGGGCGGTCGATCAGTGGAAAATCCCGATCCAGCGCCACCTGCACCACCAGCGCGCCCACACAAAACGCCGATCCAGCAGCAGCAGCAGCAGCAGCAGCCGCGCCCGCACCAGCTGGCCAGTAGTTCCTGTCCTCGCCCCAACGCGCTCCTCCTTCAGCTGCACTGACTCAAAAACCAACATGCACAATAGTTCCTGATTCGCAGGGTCAGATGTGTGTAAGCGGACTTAGCCCTGTACCTACGGCTGCGAGTGAATCAAACCCTGAACGCCAAGCTGCTGGCATGCATCACGCGTCGGAGACGTGCCTCCTCGCTCCAAAAGCATGCAGGTAAGCTCGTGGATCTTGCGAGGTCATGTTTATACATCATTGTATCTTCTCCTTAAAGTTGACTTCCGCAGGGAGATGTCATCTTCTTCTCGTCCTCATCCAATGCATTGAACAAGTGCTGCAATCAGATGGGAATTCGCTCCTTTATCCGGATTGGGGGATCTCAACTTCCAAGCTCCCGGAATACACCGTTGAGTTGTCCAACATCGAAAAAGGGATGCCCAATGGATGCCATGCTTGCCAACGTCGGCGCCCTCGCGGAGGACAAAAAACGTCAGGCGGCGGAGGGGTGGAGCGAAAGCGTGCATTAGCACCTGGGTTGCGATCAAAACCTATCGTTTTTCAAACACAGTCTTCAACCGGGAGCCTGCCACGGTGCCTTCTCCCTTTCCTCTTCCTTTTCCTCTGGCTCTTCCTTTTCCTCTTCTGCTTGCCACTGCTTGCTCTTCCTTTTCCTCTTCCCCTTTGTTGAGTGACAACCTATCGTTTTTTAGTGTTTTGAAACGAAATCCGCCCTTCCTCTTCCTTTTCCTGTTCCTGTTGGTTGCTCTTCCTCTTCCCCGTCCATTTGCTTTACTCTCTCTCTCTCTCTCTTGGGACACAATGACACCACGTTGATCACATGTGGCTCCAGAAGGAAGAATTCAGAGCGCACAGTCTACTCTTGATCCGATCACTAAGCCCATGCGTTGACCTCGGCTGGTAATCACGTAGAATGCAGCAACTACAAGAATCGGTGGCGCTCCAATATCAATCCATCCCTGACAATGTACTCTGCAGAATTTCGGTCCTGTGAATGCACCATTGTATCCAAGTCCTAGTTTGTCAAACCTTGGAGGATCCATTCACCTGCACCAGCACGCCCAAACAAAACGCCGATCCAGCACCAGCACCAGCAGCACGGGCAAAACGAAACGCCGAGAAGTAAGAACCCCTATAGCTTGCAGCTACATGGAGAAAAGCACTCAAAGAAAATGAAAACTGACACCCCCCTGTGGTGTGGCTTGAGGCCCCCTCCCAGCAAGGACCCAAAAGCCGCCCCCAGTGAGACATAAACATATTTAAAATGACACCAGCATAGACCCCAGATAGCCAAAACATGCCAAAGATTTTTCTGGACTGAGCCTTTTTCTTGCACTGGAAAGAACGCAAATGTCCTGGGTGCTTGGAGGAAAAAGAGCGCGTGCCATCTATGGGATGCTGCATATTTCGACTCATAACATGGTTTGTGAATCTGGCGCTTCAAGAATAGATCTGATTGATTCAAACCTTGACCCACCTCACCTCGATCCTTTTTTTAAACGAGCACCAAGACCGACTCTTCAGGGCCCAGGGCGACGGTGCCAGGCCAGCTCACATTCCGAATTGCTGGATAGACAGTCGAACAATTTCTGGTCTCAATCATGTGGGAAGACAGCCCAAAAGCAACGTCACTTAGAATGCTTGGCCCAAAAGCCTGCTAACCCCAGGATGCCAAAAGCCTACCCAGCACCAACAGCACTGGCAACCCAGCCAGCATGACACACTTTCAAGTAGCGCTACTTGAAAGCGGCATACCTTCGACCTTCGACAACCGCTTCCAAAACAACACTGTGTCAAACTTTAACATTACATCATCTTCAGGCACTAAGGCATACGGATGTTCACACAAAGCTCCATCAACCACCACATCCACATCCACATCCACAGCTTTGGAATGAGAGCATGCGCAACATTGCGCAACCATGTTGGCTCCAAAAGTCAATTGCCCCGCAGTTCGCCAGCTTTCCAAGCACCCTGTCTCCACCACACGCACAGCCAGCAGCAGCACCCAGCACACCGGCACCCTGTTTCCACCACCCGCAGCCAGCTCACAGCACCCGGCACCAGCACCCAGCACCGGCACCCTGTTTCCACCATGCGCACAGTCAGCTCACAGCACCCAGCACCAGCACCCGGCACCGGCACCCTGTCTCGAAAGCGCGCACAGCCAGCTCATTGTTATTTGAAGTAAGAACCCCATAGCTGTCGCTATCTGGGGAATAAAAAATAGCTCCATTGAAGATGGTTTTCGCCCTCTGTAGAGCTGTAGAGCTCAGAAGCCCGTGCCCATTGCTGGGATCTGGCCTCTCCAAACCACATGGGTAAGTATCACTTCCACAAAGAGGTTCTAGACTCTAGACCCCTCATGTGGGATGTCTGCCCGCCGCACCATAAAATTTACATGATAGTGATGCGCGCGCCACCCTGCACCGAGCAACCAAACACATGAAAAGAATAGTTCTAACTGTGTGATGTTGACCCATCCTTAAAAGTTGAAAACACTTTGATCCCTACTCATACAACTTATGAAGGAACATATCCCCGACATATGCAAATCTCTGCTCCCCCTTCCCTCAGCAAATCAGTTGCTTTTTGTATGGTTCTTGACCTGATCCAGTCTTCTCCGACCCTTCACCTTCCCTTTGCCCGTCGGTTCCGCTGAGTGCTTGGCATAAATACCTCAGTTGGGCTCAGTGCTGTGCGGGACTTCGACCGATGCGGACTCCCTCTGCTTCGGAGCCTCGTCCCACTGGACCGCCGCCGGGCCGTATGCCATGCGTCGAAGCACCGTCCGCGAGAGCGCGCGTGGCGTTTTCCTGTCTGCTCTCGTTCGGCGAGTTCGATGGTGAATGGATGTGAATGGAACATCCTTGGAACCATGGCACAGCGGTTCCCTCGCAGCTCTCAGGTTTCTTGGCTCGAAACTGAAAACGAATCGAATGGACACCGTGTCCCGTTCCATTGGAAATCGTCGGAGTGATTTAATTGTTAGGGCCATTCCAATGAAGTCATCCAAAAGGATAGGCTGGAAAGGGCTTTCTGAAGCGCTGGAGCCAGATCCACCCCTTCACGGCAACAGGTCTGTCTCTGAGAAGGAGGGTTTCTCATAGTAGGTCTTCATTCTTTTCGCAGAAATTCAGAGTCAGTGCAATGAACGGCCATTTTTCACGGTGACAGAGCAACTTCCTTGAAGTGCATCACTGCATGCTTATCCCAAACCACGTTCCACGCGACCCGCGACCCGGAGCCATTCTCTGCCGAGCCACCAACGCGTCCCTCCAATATCCTAAGAGCCGTGACGGGTGGTCAAGGCTCACCGGTTTTGGGGCGCCGCAAAGCGGAGAATGGACGGAGAATGGGCTCCTTATCACAGCCCACAGGACATGCGTGGCAAGAGTGGCCCAAGAAGAAGGAGATTCACGGTGTTCCCGTTCCGAACGTGAATTGACTATAGCATACTATAGGCTCTATACTTCTTTAACCTCGAGGACGGTACACTCCTTCAAATGAAATAATCACAGAAGTGGAGGACCACTTGTTTGGAATTCGCAAACCAATGGTGATCCCAAATTATCATTCCAGGGATTGAAACGCTGGCAGGCTTGGCATTCTGCCACCGAGAGGTGGAGCTGAAACGTGGTTTTCCTCTCCCAGTTTGAACAGACACTGCCAGATATTGTTTCTTCAAATGACCCAAACAGTCGTCGCTCGTCGGAAAAAGACATTGTCCTTTTCGCCCCAGCCGCACGTAGCAATTGCCGGGTGGATCGCCCTGGCGGAAGAGCACCGTGCCACTTTCGCAGTGCAAACCTCGACCGGTCGACTGGTCGACGGGCAGCGAGGCGGTAAACATCGCCCAAACTCGCCACGTCGAGGGGAGGAAAGAAGGCACACCTAAGCACCAGGGAGTCACAAAGGAGTGGTTTTTAGTCCCGAAGTGAGTGGATAATTGGCACCCCTGTGCACCATTAAGCACCCCTTTGTGACTGCTGGCATGTCGAGCTAATTCACTATAGAAGTTCAACAGGTCAAGCGATTCGTCATAAGTCCCAGCCTTTTCCTTGGCCATGCCAAACACTCGTGTCAAACCAGCTCTAAGTGATTCTTCATCACCCAGGTCACCCCATTTGTGATCCTCACAGCTCACGTCGTGACGTCTATAGCCCCGGACTCTACTCTCTGCCCGAAACTCACCTCAGCGCGACCGGTCACATGGAAAGTGACGTGACTTCGGATCCTACCTTTCAAAGGAACGGATCCGAATCCCGTCTGAGGCTCTTTAGTCGTCTCTTCACAGAGTGGTTTCGCTTCCAAAAAAAAGGCCTCCATCTTTCTCGTTCATAGCACGTCTGATAGGTCGCCAGGTCGCCGCAACACCACCCGTTCAATGCGCGGTTCAGGTAACCACCAGAACACGAGCCGATGTCTTCGTTTCAGACTCCGAGGAGCTGTGGACCATGCCAGAGAGGCGACGGGCCACCTGATTGCCCAACTTCTTGAAGAAGGGACACTGCAAAAGCACGTCCTCATGGTGAAAGCCGTGGACAGTTCTGTGTTTTATATGTTTAGGTCGTTTTTGAAGGAAGACATGCCGTGTTTTTGTGTGTCTTTGTGTGGTGTGTCTTTGGGGTGTCGTGTGGAATCATGACGGGCTGAAGTGGGATGAAAAAAGTGTAGATAGGCTTTGGACACTTGGACAGCCTCTTGAAAAGGGTTGCCTGCCGGGTCTTGCATCAAAACAGAATGGTATAACACACTAACATGTACAACTCTTGATAGGAGCTTCTTTTATTATAGAGGGAGGTTTTCCGGCGCAATCGTTCTCCCTGGTCGTTCTTGCACGAGACATTCCTACACCCTTTCCAGGAGACATTCCTCGGAAAAAAAAAAAGAACAGAAAGGGGTCGAAGCAACTGCGCACACGGGGGCCGGCCTGGGCCTAGAACACCCCATGAAGATTGCTTCACATTCGATGGAGTCAGCCCAGGCAAAAGGTCGCTCGACTTCGCCCCCGAGGCCCGAAGAGGTCGGATCTTGAAGGTTTTCATGATCCCCAAAGCCACCAATTCTTCTCTATCAATAGATTTCACTTGGGGTTGGTCATGAGAGAACAATGAGGATATCGAAAAATACCGCAAGTTGGCAGGCCTTCTGCAAAACGTCTTGAGGGTAGTCCATGTCCAAAACAGTGGTTTCTCTTCGTAAAACCCTTTCAGCTTGAAGGGGTGTTAGATGGTTTAGACCTGTGAATTGGTCACTGAAGATCAGGGCCGCAAGCACCACTGGCCGACCCAAAGGAGCCCCACCAGTGTGAGGATTGAGGACACCGAGGACAAGCAGGACATCATTCTGCTTGGGGTGAACCTCGAATGCAACCCCTAGGGGCCCTAGAGATCCAGTCATACCTTCTCAGAAGGTACGACTGGACCCTCCAAACCATGTCCCCGTGTCTCCTTCCTCACCGTACCTGAGAAGGTACTTGAAGGATCCCTAAGGAATCACCAAGCTTCGAGGTGTTCCTTCTCGTGCACGCTCCAGGGCAGTGGTGAGCTGGGCAAAGGAGAGGACGGCATGGCGAAGGAGCCTTGCAGCGTGGCGGCGAGTTCCGCGGGTGAGCGGCATTCAGTGACCCCACGAGTAGAACTAGTCTACGAAAGGAAGGATTTCCAAGAATTTCAGATCTGCAAAAGGATTATAGTGCTTGGAGGCCACCCAATGATAGAAACCGTGGATGGTTCCCAAAGAGGAATCCAGCGTTCTTGTGCGAGAGGGAAGGCGGGAGGCAATCCCTTCACTGATTCACTCAGTAACAGTGGTGACATCCCTGCGCTTCCACCGGGAATGTTCTTCGGCAAGCTATATAGCAGGATGGCGCGAAGGCCTTTCGGACCCAACAAAGGAGAAGCAACAAACGAAACGCTCCCAACCAACCCAACGGTGTCCTTAGAGCCTTGATATCCTGAGGTCCAAATGCGCGATCAGTCGATTGCATGAAGCCTAAGAAGGCTCATCCCTAACTTTCCATGACCTTCACAGCCAAAAGTTCACAGTGCATGAGGACAGCATACCGCGAGATATTCAACACTGGACTCCCTCCCCTTGGAGCCCTTATGTTTCCCTTATGTTTCCCTGACTATCTGGGCTGGTCTGATCCTGCACAGCTGTGGCCCCACCCAAACGCATCCGTCACTGTTCAGATGGAAGATATCCGCAAGTTCCAGGCGTTTCACGACATGTAAAGTGAGAGACTCTCCTCGATTGAAGGAGCAACATCCAGTGAGAGAGAAGCATCTGTCAAGATCCGATTTGTTGACCTAAAGAGAATCTGACAATTCAACCATTAATATCCCGTTTTCATACCAGCTCAATTTGCTGGGATGCAAACAAAAAATGCCTCATACAGTCGTCTGTTGTTTTCTTACTTCATTCATGAATCGAACTCCGTGTACTGGGTGGCCAATTCGACCAGTGCATATTCGGGCGGCCACGGTTTACCGCGATCGCCCCCGCTTTTGGAACCCCAAGCACGTGACGATGTCTTTGGCCCGGTCAGCTACGTAGCTGGCCCATGTTGATCAGCTCACATGAACCCCTCAGTGGGTATCTCCATGGCATCCGGAATCCAAAGATATCCAAAAATATCCAGAGCAAATACATACTCTGAAAGAATAGAACACCAATTCATTAAACCCCATTCATATCCTGCCCCAATTCCAAGTCCCAACCGTTGTCCCCGCAAGTCCCATTCTTCTTCCGTCCGGCCCTCACGACCGCATCGGTCCGGACCCGCCGGACCTGTAGGCGATTGCGGCACGGAGTTCGGCGGAGTGGAGGCCTGAGCCCGGCGACCGGGGACGAGCGTTGACCGCGACCGGGGATACGTAGGGAGGATAGATCGAGGATGAGTCGAGCCCTTCCGAACCAAGGGCCCCCCTGGGCCCCCTGGATGGGACTCCAAATTACCTTATATAGGCTATATATAGGCTATAGGTGACTGGATCCTATATCGTAGCGGAGGGTTCTGTTGAAAGGAAACACGCCAGTGGAGCCAATTTGAGACTAGAAGGCTGAAGGTTTTGAAGATCCTGGTACGGTACTTCTATCTTCTTTTCATTCTTTTTTGGAACAAACAGGTTCCAGTTGCTGAGCCTTTGAACTTCAGTTTAAAGATTGATCGTTGATGGGAGTGTTGATGGATGACCGGATTTGTCTCACTGGTCAAAAAAGAAACCTCCAAAAGGCTTCGATTCAAGGCACACCCTCATGGGATGGTGAAATGGTGGCTCTTGCAGACTTACAAAGTGGCGAGTGGTGACCTGAGGGTGCTGGTTTAGATTCCATCAATTAGTCCTTTCGCTTCAGAGCCTAATGCCCTCTGATTTTGCAATCTTTCACGAACACGCACTGGCCCATGAAACCGCATGAAACACAGCTCCCCACTTTGCTTGCCAACCTCACCTACTTTCCTTCAAACCGCCAGTCCAGGCCCAACCCTCATCACTTTCTCAACACTGCTCGCGTGTCCGAACACTCTTTCCACTTCCTTCCTTCGCCACCAAATTCCACCCCACTCACCCCCCCCTTCACACCAACTCTCTCCACCCGCCCCCCCTCCTTCACCACGCGGACCAACACCCGAACGGCCCGGTGGGACGGCCTGGAAGGATCCGGTGGGACTGCCCGGCTGCGGCGCCAGGAAGCTGCCCTGCCCGCTCCGCCGCACCTCGCTGCCGCTGCGCAGCATCATCGCTGGGAGGGTCGGCATGGCGCGAGGGCGGCCGGGCGGCCGTGGCCGCAAAAGGTAGCGGGTTCAGTGGCCACACGGCGGGTGGAGGCTTGGGCAGGTGGATCTGGTAGAGTTTTCATGGAAAAGAACGGTGCGAGGTGGTGTGGCTTTGGGATTGTCTGTCTGGTAGGGAGAATCCATTCCGCGAAAGATGTGGGATTCGGAGCACAAGCCCTACTTACATGGCAAATCAGGTTTTACTTGGCAAACACCCTGCATAACCTTTCTAGCTGACCCAAGAGTTCATTGCCTGGTGGTCCTCTTGGATCCTATAGATGCCTTGCCTTGCCATTCAACCATCTGCGATGGAAGATCCAAGAGGGGCTGCGACAGGTCTGTCGCATGACGCATGAGTTGCAACTCCAGCTTTGCAGCCAAAGGGAGATGGGTAGTTTAACCTGTGCTTCAACCTATGTATCGCCCGGGTATGCCCGACCAGGGAAACCATCGCGTGCGTGTTGGACAAGGGACGTCCCTTTTCCCAAACACCTACATCTGACAAACGGGGAAATCTGCTCTAAATCTGGCTTACAGGAAAACGGCGAAAAGTTTGGCCAAGACTTCTTGGAGGGTAACTCTACGAGAAAAATGGGCCAAGGCCAAAGAAACATCAGCCTTACCAAAGCATCAGACGCGTTGATCACTGAACATATCCATCTCTCAGGTCGAGTCTCACCACACATTCACTCAAACATATTCCAAGGAAAACAGGAAAACATCTTTCCGTGACTTCAAGGGCTTTTCAGGTCTGCATTTGGAGGGTGGTATCTCTGTGCAAAATGGTTCATCATTCATGAATCATCTGTGTGGGAAGCATGCTCCACCCTTGGTTTAGCAAAGTGGGATAGGCTCGCCAAAAGGGGACTCGCTTGTTCGTCCTAAAGTAAACAATGACATCCACCAGATTTAATCCCCGTGTCTAAGTGCGTGTGTATGTGTGAGAGAGAAAACCTAGTCAAAGGCAGCATCAAGATCTTGACAAGCAGTTGCGCCAGCAATTAAATAATTAGACACGAACCCTCCCTGCATTCCAAAATAAAGACATCCCCCTCCAAAGATCTGGGCCGTTCTTTGAAAAAATGCCAGTTCCGTAGTGCTCCAGCAACCCAACTCCTTTCTATGATAATGTCCACTGGCAGCATCCGATGTTCAGTCATTCATCCACCTGGTCTGGCCAATGCGGTGAGCTCGATCTGTGGCCTGCAGGTCTGCCTGCAGGTCTGCAGGTCTGATCGCCGAATTCGGGTGTTGACATCGGGAAGAGTTTTATGTTGCCCAGGAAGCCGGGACCAACATCAAACACATCTTCAATTTCGGGATTCGCCCAGTAGCCGTGACACATACTACGTTAACACCTGACACCAAACCGCTTGGGCGCAGGTTCGGGTGTCGCGACCGCCGACCGGGTCCACCGGGTGCTTCAACCGAACTCTCGTCAACATGGCGAAAGATGGTGAAAGAACAAACGAGTATCATGAACTCACCATTCATATCATTCCCCATGTTGTCAGATTATCATTGTTTCACCATTTGCATTATCATTCAACACGGTGTCATGATTCCCATATCATTCCCCATCCCTTTTTGATCGAAATAAACAGCAACCGATGCGTTCAGCGCCTGCGGATTCCAGTCGCAGTCAAAAATGATGACGGTATCTGCCTTGACGGGAACTGCCAGTTGAGCCGCAATACGATCAATGTTCAGCATGACCATTATGAAATATTATGAAACCATTCAACACCAAAGACCGACCGTGAAAATCTGTCCCAATTCCTGCCGAACATGTCAAACTGATGTCAAACTGTTCTTTTTTGTTCTATGCGTTGGTTTATGTTTGTGTTGGTTTGGTGTATCGTCATCCTCAGAAACCAAAGTACTGAGAAGTTGCCGCGGAGTGACGCCTAGTTGATGGGTACTGCAGCACATGGTATCTACATCGTGGCTTGTCGTCCTTCTAGTCCTCCTACGTAGAATCAGAGAGTCAAAGACTCCTCCTTTTCCATCTGTGGCACCGAGCTGCTCAGGTGGCCATTTGCATCGTTTTCCTACCCTCCCTGAAATCATCCTTCCGTGGACGTGAGTTCACTGGGTTCACATGACCCCGAGGGAAATACCCCAAAACAGGTCCATCTTCACTCCACGGTCCGGCCGAGTGCTCTTCTTCCCACCGATGTTCGGGAGGGTCACCGGAGACCAGTCTGTCCAATTTCTTGTTTGAACATCATCCTTGTGAAAGGACGTTCTGAAATGATCTTCTCACCCTTGACCAGACTCCCAACAAAAACACACGCAGATCAACACAAAGATCACTAGATTTTAGAACATCATAGAACGCAAGACCCTTTATAAAGAAACAAGACCCACTGGGTATACTCACAACTTGAGGATTGGTCGGACTGTCCCTTCCGCCGGGCTGACAACGAGTACAAAGGGGAGTAGTTGGTCATGCCCGGTCCGTCACGGTGACCTTTGGATGCTATTTATAGGTTCAACACCTGGGGCCTGTGAAAGGTCACCTCAGAAAACTCGATGAAAGCTCCGGTCCAAATAGGTGCACGAACTGAAGAAGCTGGTTTCAGAGGTTGATCACAATCCATGTCGCTTGGGGGTCTCCGTCCCTGGACCCCCCGGTCGACCGATCCCATCTCGGGCACAGATGGAATCCAGGCTCCCACGAAAGGTCTCCGCATGGCTTGGAATCCAGGCTCCCCGGCCACCTGTAGATTCAAACCCAAGCCTCCAGCACGTGTGGTGAGCCTTAAACAGCAAAGGGATGGACCATGGACCATATATGCCTATATGGATGCATGTGGTCGTTGGGGCGATCGACCGTCGATGGTTCTTTCGTGAGCTTAAGAGGAACAAAAGCAAAGGCACCCGAATATATTTCATGAAAATGGTCCCTTGATGTCGTTTGCATGACCATTTTCCTCTACAAGCAGGCGACTTTCCATTGTAATGTCTTTGGTTCTCTCCTGGATGGGACTCTATCAAGCAGTGAGAAGACAGGCTCTATTGTTGCTTCCGCGATCCAGTTGTCTTGACCCGAAGTCTGTGATGTTGAAGTAAAAAGCTCCTTTTGTCTGGATGTATCCAGAAGTTCCAGAAGTTCGTCGAAAGGGCATTCCTGATTCTTGGATACCCCCAAAAGATATGTCGTTGGGGCCTCCACGAGAAGGGTTTGCTTTCTCTTTTCTCCCTCAAGAGCCAGTCTTTTTCCTTCAAACAGGCGACTTCATTCATCACATCTGAAAGAGAACTCAGTTTCTGGCAGCATCACGCGCACGTGCGGCTCCCGTTGGAAGGCTGTGATGGCAATGGACCTCTGCCTCGGGGGGGTGTGAGTCTGGTCGATTCGAAGCTAAAGAAGGTGTTCAACTGCTCGAACTTAAAGAATCACATGTTTGGGGGAATCTTGGGGCATATCATGACGCTTCAATCTGGTGAGGCTTGCTTGTTCTTTGGCCCACCTTCACTGCTCTTGGAGTAGGGTTTCGTAGCGGTCACCCAAGTTCTTCAGCCCAGCGTGGACTGCCCTCCGCCCGGCTTCGCGTCTGCCCGTTCGGGCCTCAAAGATTTGGATCCATCGATGCGCGTGAAGGGCAGACCTGCGTCTTCGAAGCGAAGCAACCGCCAAAGCCCACCGGTGTGTCGGAAACAGAATTCGGGTGCCGGAAACTATGTCCATCTATGTCCCTTTGTTATTCTTGGGTCTAAACTCACCCCCTGGAGGAATGCAAGTGATTGCCTCATACCTGTGAGCCCAGCGTGTACTGAATGAACATGTCCAAACCATTTGAGAACCCTACTGTAGCGACCATCAAATCTCACCAAACAAACGGTGGCGGGAACACGTCCATGTTCCTGCCACCGCAAGGGTCCAGATCGTAAAAAATTGGACGAACACTGCAGCATCCAAAAGTCGTCAAATGTTCGACCGGTTTGCGCCTAAGCGTTCCAACATCTTCTGCAGTAAATCCAAGGAGCTGGTCATCTGCGCAAAGATCTGGCGGTGACGCGGATGGGCCGAGCATGGTCCGAACGGTTGTTGCAAGCCCTGGAAAGCCGTTGCCGAGAAACCATGGCATTCCCATCTTGGAACGACTACCCTGAAATCTCACATAGACCCTGAAAACCACTGGAGTAACCACTGGTTTGTAAAGGACATTTAAATCGGTTTTTGAGGGTGCTGAACCCAGGTCCATGTGAGTAGACTTGGGAGTGACTTTGTCTCTAACCTGGTGTTTCCACCACGAGCGAGGCAAGGTCCCATGGCAGGCTCCTCCCACTAGTCTAAGGCTTTTCTCATGAATCGGCCTTTTTAAAACCAGTGATGAGTGTTGGTTGGAAACGTCCTGCTAGGCGAAGCTACGACTCTTTCATCCCAAAAAGGGTCATGAACGAGCACGTTGGCCGAGTGCAATCAAGCCGCCGCGAGCTTGACTCACTGAGGAAGACTGATAACAAGATCAAATCGACACCGGTGTTCTTGTTCAGCATTCCAATGCGTTTTGTTTCTCTTTTTTGATGCCCCTTCAACTTTTCGCAGGGGATGCACAAGATTCCTCGAATCATCTCGAAGCATTTCCATTCATTTCCAACTTGGTTCATGGAACAGTCCGCCACACTTTGTTTCAGAAGGAATCTTTCCCGGTTGCGACATATCGAGACATACCCACCGACGCCACCGACAGTGCGTTGTCGAAATGGAACAAACCTGCCCAAAGGTCATCTCTTCGAGTTCACATCTCTTTGCCAACAGAGCACCCTGATCCTCATCACAAAGCGCACTCGGGACACGCTGATGTCCGGTGCAAACCCCGGCCGAGCCCCACAGGGCTCCCTCTGAGTGTCCAGCCAGCACTTTGTGGTCAAACTGCACCAACCTCCGGTGGAAGCCGAGCGAAAGCGAACTTTGAAGAGATCGAACGTTGGTGGTCGATTTGACGGCTTGGAAGAGCTTTGATTTATATTGGTGTAAATCCTCAGGAGAGGTTTCAGGAACTTTTGGGATCTTGATGGATGTCCCTGCAGAGTCAAACTCTGGTTTCTTCATGTTTCTTCCATAAAAAACCTCACAGCAGCATCCTGAAGGGCCTTCACAAGCCAGGTACAGCTTGATTGACGGGGTACGCTTTCTCTGCGGGAACGCGTCCCCGTGGTGCCTGAGGTTGATGTGACCACCGACCAGTCAAAATGAAGTGCTTCCCCGGTCAAGAAATCAGGGTGAGTCTTCTGTCCATCCCACATCGGTTTGGTCGGATTTTCTATTCCGTTCTCTCCAAAAATCCCTTAACAGTCAATCCTGAAACCGTAACATAAGTGACTCCTTCCTACCGTAGGAAAAGCGAATTCCGACCGTAGGCATCGGTCGCATCGTCACGCATCGGTCGATGTCGCACTTTAAAGCATAATAGACACAGGACACTCGACCATGTCATTATTTGCCTACATTCACCATGGACATCCGACCATCATGAAAACCCCGTAAGCAAACCACCCCGTTTCCAGCAAATACGCGTGTGTCCCATGATCCCATGTGTCGTGTCGTGGGCCCTGCTTTCTCCAGGCGTGTCCGCCGTGGCCTGGGTAGGATCCGGTCCAGGAACTCGAACTTCCCCGAGACCTGGAACGGCTCCGACGGCGACGGAACGTGGGCAGGTTGCGGGGAGTCGGTGGATCCAATGAGTTGGGGAAGGCCAATGAGCTTCCAAATGGTAGAGAGATTATGTATATATAATATAGATTTCGATATAGTGGGTCATGAAATTTACGTGACATCAATCATAACATGGAGCACGACTGCATCAAAGACAAAACTGAATGGATCACGAGGACAACCAAGGAAAAGAAACCAGCGGATAAACCAGCAGAATGCATTCAATATATTCTTGGGAACGTATTTCGAGACAAAGTTCCGGCACGGAATTGCGACCGGTATCAGGGACAAGGCTTGAAGGGCGCCCTGTGCGGGGGTTCGACCAGGTCAAACAATATCAAACCACTCTGATCGGGCGGAACATCTCTCCAGTGGGACCTTGGGCAGGCCTTAATTACGTGTTAATTGCATGCTCTTTGGCCATGTGAGGAAGACATGTTTTGCCATGTCCGTCGGAGGTCGCCAGTGCTTCCCGATGACGTCGTCCAAACCCACTGCAAGGCGATCCTATCGACGACACACGTGATCATGATGCACGGCCACCACTGGGCGTCTCGCGCGAGTGAGTCGTGGTGGACGGCATCTGCAATCCAGTCATTAAGTTGTTGTGCTCCCATGCGTCCTTGTTCCTAGTAGCTTCCTTGCTCCTAGTAGTAAGGCCAGGAGCCCCTAGTAGCGTCCTTGCTCCTAGTAGCGATGCCAGGAGCCGCAGGAGCCCCTAGTAGCTTCTTGTTCGTGTTTCTCCAGGCAGATATGAGTTTATAGTTTATTGTTGGCGACCGGCCAAAACTGCAGGACCACTCGCTGCAGTGAGAACTGGTGAGTTGGAGTTTTACGCCCGGCAAGAGGCGAATGGCACCTGCATCGTGGAAGGACCGACCAAACGCGGGACCGGTGGCCGCAGCCTGTTCAACGACCTGCCATCGTGCAGAAGGCACGCTTCAAGCAGGAAGGACGACGGTAGGAGACAGACCTTGCGCTGTCTGACATGGTCGCGGGTCATGGGATGCCGAGATGGTTTCGCTTTACCAGGATCAGCTGAACTGCGAACAGGGCAACGCAGCCTCACTCCTGCTTCGAACACCCTTGGGAGAGTACACTGTGCTCATAAGGCACAGCGCCCTGGGAGAGTGGAGCCTTGAAGATGCTCTGGTCGAGACATGCAAGATTGAAATCCTCCAAGCGATGTACCCCCAAACTGGGGGAGGGCGTGGTGCCCAAACTCCCAACGTCGTTTTGACATAACCGTCGCGTTCAGACTAGATGCCCCCAATCAGTTTCCCCATCAACAACACCTAAGGAACCCCTGTCTGGAACACCAACAAATAAAATAGAGCAACACCACCCGGATCAATCACCATCCCCCCGCAACTGAAGGCCGAAAGGCCCGAGATCCCGGTTCTCGCAAGGTCAAAACCCGCAGGCACCCTCTCCTTATACTGGCTAATTGCTTCGAGAGTGAGTTACATTCTTGAACTCACTTGCATGGGCGTATACCGTTCGTGTCCCGCAAGAGGAGAACGCATCCAAAACATCCAAAACATTCCAAAACCCACGCCACGTTGCAGGAAAAGAACAGCTTTCTTAAGGCCCGTGACTGGGCCCGTGGGCTCATATGGGCCCTGTCTCCCTCACGGCCACGGCGGTCACGACGCACTCTGGGCATTCGACTTTCACCAGCTCCTCGCATCGGTGCCGTTCGCCCGACCCGGAAGGACCCGGAGTTGTTGAGATCGGTGCCATCACTTCGGTTGATCTGCCCGTTTGATCCCAGCTTCTTCGACCGAACCTTTTAGTCCCATTCGCCTTTTGCAGGGCTGGACTGACCTCAAACCAGGGGGTCAAAGGTCACAGAGGAAGAACCAGGTCTGTTGAATGCATGTTTTTGCCATGTAAAAGGTTAGAAGATTTGGTGATTTGGCTCAAAAGTCTGCAAGAAAGTTCTGGGATTGGAAGCCTCCAAGGCCATTGACGAGGAACCTCGTGCACAAATTGGAAGTCAATAACCCTTAACATCCCTTAACCCTTCGATGGCCATGAGTAAGCTTGGAAATCCTTCGAAAAAACCCTCTCCATCCACGTCCTCCTTCTTTTCTCTCTTTGCGTCAAGAGGTTCCTCTCTGGGCACCCGCTTCCGGGTCTCAGGCCAGCGCCAAGAGGAACACCGAGAGACGCTGCGCCGTCAAGGGCACCGGCGCGCCCGTGCCATCGTCCATGGCCACGAAGGCTGGACGATCACGGAGGCCTTGGCCCTCGTTCTTCACCTCGGAGCAGTGGCGGCTGCGGTGGGAGCGGGAGGAGCCGTCCACCGCGGTGGAGGGTCGACGGTGACGACGGTGACGGCTGTAAAGGAGAAGAAGCGAACCTGGTGGAGGACTTGCAGTAATTACGGAGACCTCCCCTTGGCCACAGGTTCTTCTTTTGGAGGGTCAAGTCTATGTTCCTTTGAACCCAGGGGGCTGTTGTGTGTCATGTCTCCCGCAGTCTCCCTATTTTATTACGCATCCAATCGCATCCATGACTCTGACATACTCTGACTCTCTGAACTTGGAGAAAGACAAGTCAAACTGTTGAGTCAACCCGTGTTTTGTGAGCTTGCTTCAAGCATGCCAATATTTGGTCAACACTCCCATCTCAAAGAGGTGAACAAGCCTCGGAGCTTGGGTTGAACCTCACGTCAGGATATGCCAGGACTATAGCTGAGTACCAAGGCTCCAAACATGTGGGGGTGAGCAATTAGCAGCAAAGCTCCATGTTTGGGGTGTCTATGAGCCAGCGAAAAGGTTAAGGGATGTCCATTCACCACCCCCTTGTGGACGCCTTAGGTGGCTCTGATAGAGATGTTTTTTGGAGGTTCTGGCGTCCACACATCCAAACGATTGGCCAGGGGTCCACAACGGCCGACCATCTTCAACCGACTTCGACCATCTTCTTAGACCCAGAAAGGCTCAAGGTACCCAGTCACAGAGCTGTACTTTTTGACAAACCAGAGCTGGATTTTGGAAGCAAGAGTCTTCAGATGTCTTCAGGGTTCTACGGACTGGTTACGATCAGGCCTCTTCCTAAAATGTCCTCATTCTTCACTGGTCTTCCCGATGATTCAACTGCGGGACGGCACAGCTGCACAACCCTTCTGTCTTGTACTTCGCAGAGTCCAGACACAGAAGAAGTGCACAGAACCTGCTACAAAACCTCTGACGACACAGTCCCCAGAACTCACGGGATTCCTCAGAGTTCACCGACCAAAACCAGGCAAAGAGACCATGGCGGAGACCATGGCGGAGACTGCCGGACTGCCGGACCGCCCCCCCAAAGCCCGGAAAGGACTCGATCAACTGCGGAGTCACACAGGGTTCCTAGTTCCTAATATATAGTAGCTTCTTGCTACGTTCGTAGCGATGGCCTCCAACCGAATAGCGATGGCCTCCAAGCTAGTAGCTTCGTAGCTTCCGCCCTGTAGCTTCCGTCGTAGCTTCCGAGTCACACAGGCAAATTTTGCCATCGAGTAGGATTTCTTCAAACGATTCATGTTCTTCAAACTCAAGTAGGCAATAGTCCTGGGCTGCGGTTTGAGCGGTTTGAGCTGCGGCGGCTCAGTCGTACTGTTTCGCATAAAGCAATACAATGGGTAGCTGTAAAACACCCTGCATAAACTTTCACCGTCCATCAAATCAGAGTTGGTCAACCCGTCTGACATAACATGTTCAAAAAGAAATGAACACCACACAAGCGTCCTTGCAACATCTGTGGTCCTCTATATGGGCGTCATACCCAAAGTAAACGACAGTCCCGACTTGGTATCGACACCAGTTCCTGCGGGAATTGAGTATAGTATAGAAACATCTCTTTGTTTCACTTCAAGCAGCATGGTCCAGCCAGTGGCCTATGCCCACTGAAATGTATGGAAACCAGGAAATAAAAGTCCCCATCTAATCTGGCATAATCTGGCCACTGAGGCTTGATGGTGCCTCCAATCTGTACAAGTTGCTGGGTCCTGATGCTTGCGCCACTTCATGACCTTCATTGAAGACGCCCCAACAACATGTCAAACTGGGAACTTCCGCGATCCATGTCAAGGGCGCGAGGCGTCGACACGCACACTGAGCTTGGTTTGGATTCCAGTTCATTTCACCCAAGCAGGAACGGATCCGTCGCAGGTTCCGACGGAGTCTGGGGTCGAATTGAGTCGAAGCCCGCGCCCGACTTGGCGAGTGACTAAGCACATCGGCCCCCGCGCTCGAAGTCCAAGCCAAGGCACTCTCTACCGGTCAACCAGTGATAAATGGTCTTCGGAGTGATGGGATTGCCGTTGGGACCTGACCGAGACCGGCGGGGACCTAACGGATCGGCTGGACCGAGACCGACGGGGAGGCGTCGACCGCCCGACAGCCCGTCTCACTTCGAGAGAGGAGTGAGGGATAACCCAAAAATGAACCGAGAGGAGTGGATGGACCAAATGCAGCAAATTGAAGCAATCAAACATGTTTCAGATTCGTTCATGGAGAGAAAAGACCAGTTTTCGATAGCGGCGACCCGCTCGCCATCGACTGCTTCTCAGAATGAGGCGAAAGAACCACACGAAGACCGGGTTTGGGATGACACCCAGTGGCCCAAAAGCAGCCAAACAGCTGCTACAAGGGCATACTTCAAAGAATCCGCAAAGGACACTGCCATCTGAAAGTTAAAAAACAACACATCAGAATCACTATCAGTCACTATCAGAATCATAAACCTCTTACATCTCAAAAACACATCCCGTGTTTTTTTTTCGATGTTTTTCCAGGTTTCCCCCAGCACCGACCCTCATTTCGCTGGGATATCTGAAAAAGGTGCTGAGCAGGGCGCGTTGGATGAGATCGCTCTCCATGATCTTCTTGACGGCATTGTCCAAATTCACCACGGAGGGATTGGAGGCAAAGATCGCAATATACGCCGACCTTGGAGAGACGACGTGTTGTTTTCCGGCATGTCTTTGGATGGAAAGAGCTGAGGAAAAGCAAAGGACACTCAAAGATGAACAGGTCTAAGCCTAGCTCAAGAAATAGCAGTTCGACCCGTCAATCTGATCGGGTAAAATCTTTCTGGCATTTGCCACAAGTAGCGAGCTGCGAGCGAAAGATCTAAGTCAGCTGAGGATTCGGTCACAGTCACTGGTTTCTGAAAAAAGAAAATCACAGTTGGGTGAGTACACTGAGTACACCTCTTTCTCCCCCGACTTCCTATCTACATCTCAGGCGCTGTTGCTACCCCCAAATCAACCATTAGATCATATTATCCCTTCGCTAGGGCTCCAACCATATCCTCAGGTTCGATGGTTATATAGACCCCCCTGGCACCCACCCCAACCATCTTCTCAGGATGTGGGCCAGGAGCCCTAGGGATTCTTGTCATATTCTATCGGGTGGTCGCCTAGCCTGCCTTTATGTGCCGCAGCGACGAAGAGAGACTTCCGTCCACGTTGGCCCAGCCGAGTTCACGGAGTGTTCCCCAGAAGGTTGGAGGTGAACTAATGGTTGAGACACCAGAAAATCAGGCAAAGGAGCAAACCAAAGGCTGCCGAACTTAAAAGAGGGGGTTCACATGTCCGTTGCATAGATCGATTTCATTCCCTTTTAGAGAACAAGCATGCGTGTAAGCATGTGTCCTTGCATTCCCATTCACCTCCAATCTCCAAGTGGCGCTGCCGTATTCCGAATGACGCTGGCAATGCGAGTCATCAAAGAGGCCACACCTGCAGCGACCCAACCGGTTGCTGAAACGGCCAGGAGTTCGTTGGTCGACGCCCAAACGCGACCGCCATCTGGCCGTTTCGAAACGGCCAGGGGTGGTTAAAAAGGGGTCTTTCTGGGGCGGCATATCTTCCATACACCAGCACCTTCCAAGTCCGGTGGTTTTTGGACACCTCTTAACCTCTAAGAGGCTATTTATAGACACCTCTTGGTGTCCTAGCATATGGAATGTAAGTCCCATCCCAGTGAGTAGATGTGACACGGGCACCCCGAACCTCTGGCACCAAAAACCCGTTTGGAGCGGCTTCAGCTGGCTTCTGGTACTTTGAACGGTGGTGATTGGATGTGATTGGCAAGAAAACGCACGACATGCATAGATATTTCCCGATATTTCCCTGGTTGGGAACTGGGAACTGCACTCCTCATTTTGAACACCCTCCAGGTCCTTCATTCAACCGACTCTTCTCCACTCCTGTCACATCCAATTCGCGGGGTAGGGGTCACCCATGGGCATTAACCATCACCAACCCTTTTTAGGACCTGCCGCCACAGACTGCCACAGACTGCCATCGCGCTCGGCCTCCAATCTGCACCCAGCCACCCACGAAGGCTCTCAGAAACAGTTCTCGTGCCTACCGAAGGACTTCTGCCGCGATGCGGAAGGGTGTCCGAAGCATCCCACACAGTCCAATCAGAACGGAGTGGATCGGTGGAGATGGAGGTTCTTTAGGATGAAGTTGGGGGGCCAACGCAGATTTTGAGAATCCGGGCCAAGGATTCCCACCTCTGCCGAGCCCAAGGATTCTTGAGGGTCGCTTGATTTTGAGAGCAGTATTGAGCAGTCTGGCCCACCATTCTGCTGCGGGCTGTCGAATCCTCTTTGTTTCAGGTGGTGCCGCCCCAGATGACCTGAGATCCGCCCAACCAGGGGGGCCCGACCCATTTCTCATTATGCCATCCGTCAAATGCCCAGCCAAACTTCTAAATATTATAAATATATATTATATTAATATATATAGGGATATCGGAAAAGAACTGCTTGGACACCACGGGTTGGGAGTTGTCAGCTTTCTTGCGACTTCTTTGGGAGAAGAACCACGGATTTTCAATTCTTTATTTATTGGATGTTCATTGGTATATCAGTATATATAGTAAAAGAGAAAACATAGCTCAATTGGATCAAGAATTGTAATGAACAACTAAATAGAACCTGATCCAAGAGTGAAAGGAGGACAAATAGACTAATTATTAATTACATATTAATAATTTCAAATTAGTAGTTTCTGGAAGGTTCGAGGAACCTGTAAAACCGTGTAAAACTAAAAGCCTCACTGCTGGCTGCAGCCCTTTTGTTGAGAGGTCTTGCCTCTTCCACCACACCTCACTTGTGATTGTACGACGTGACGCAAATTGTGTTGTCGGCCATGGTCAACACGCGTGCGAACCTTCTTTTTCGACGGTCCCGTGCAAGTGCTAAACCGGCCGCCGGAATGTGTGCGCTACGTCTTTTTGACAAATTGGGTGAGAAAGCAAAATTCACCGGGTCAGCAAGGGTTGCACACTTCTTCTCCAAACGTTTCGTTCTCCTCGAAGTACGTGTTCTGCAAAGCCAATATGGCCAACCACGTGAGACGATCATGAACATGTGACATCCTTGACCCATGAAACTCGTGAAATATGGGAAACTCCTAGCCTGCTGGCCACTTCCATGTTTTGGGATCTAGCCGCTAGCCTGAAGGGCCATGTTCGTGTCTGCAACCCCGATCATGCTGTATAAACACAGCCTCAGGCCATCCCCATCAGTTGCCCCAACATGGGGTTGGCATACTGCATGGGTCGCACGTTGGGGTGGGGCACATGGGCGAAGGACTTGTACTTCGGGGTCATGGTCTTGCCTCAGGCGGTCCGACGCTGTCACCGTGCGCGGTCCGACGCGGGCATCGCGCGGTGGACCGAAACACGCCGGGTGGTCGCCATGGGGGGTATAGGGTTTGGGCAAGATCGAAGGCTGTGAACGGGGGTGGGAGGGATTTAGTTTCAGCAATCACGCTTATATGATATGGCTTATGATGGCTTATGGGGTTGTGAAGCTCTTGAAGTCTCTGTCCCTCATGAAACCTTCGGGAAAGACCACGCTCGCGTGTGCTGCGTGCGTTTCGCATCGTTTCGCTGTCACCGCGACGTTTCGCTGTGACTCCGGCGCTTCCACCGCGCCAACCGTCGGTGCTGGTCGACTTCGTCCCAAGTGGCCATCCAATCGGATGAAGGCGCCCTTGTTCCCCATCCTCGGCGCTGGTCGACCGCGTCGCGAGGCCGGAGGCCGGGACCGGAGGCCGGGACTGCCGTTTTTCGGGACGGAGGACTGCGACGTCACATGGACGGCTCAGTGGATGGGACGAAACACACAGCAAGATATGCAGCTTCGAACCGAGCCCCTGTCTCAGTTCTCCAGGATTCGAAAACAAGGTGAACCACACATGCCCGGACAAGAAGGACCTCACTGGGTGTTGACAGAGGTCCACCAAGTCGCTCAGGGCCTCCTTAGAGTCCAGAGTCCACCATGTCTCAGGTCAGAGGTCCTAAGAGTCGAATCCTTAAATCCCTTTTCTGTCAGGTTCCAATGAGGGTTCAATCTGGCATATATGCCAAACATGGATGGTCTGGGTTTTAAAATTCTTTCAAACAGTCACGGGGTTGCTCTCCCCATCTTCTTTCCCTCACGTCCCCAGCCTCGTTTCCATCGTCCGGCCCAAGTGTCTGGTCGCAGTAGTTCGGAGCGGAGAAGACGGTGACCTTGTCGTCTGTCACGTCGGAAGAGGGACCGGTGTGGACAGTCGCTGTCTACTCAGCTTCGGCGTGGACCATCTCAACCAAAAGGTGACGTCGAACCGCACACCGGAAACGGTTGACGGGAAATGGTTGGGCACCCTACAAAAGGACCAACGTATACGTATTATGTGCACCCAAAGTTTAGGCTCAGAAAGGACCCTCAGTTCGGGTTTTGACTAGTTTGGACCAGGGTGAACTGGACCGAACCAACAGGTAGCAGTTGGTTCGGGTCCAGGGTCGCCTCTGGGTGGGATGTTTCGATGTCGGACTTTTCCGTCGATCCGCCGCCGAACCTGCACGCACCTGCGCCACGCAGGTCGCGCCACGCATGCGCCAAGAACGTCCTGAGCGCCCCCCACGAGCTTCCCGTCGTGTTCGATCTCGTAGCCCTCCTCTTTCATCTCGTGGCTCCGGATCACCATCTTCAGGTTATTCACCTGCATGCTGCGCCGGCCGCCCCACCCCCAGCAACGGCACCGGCGGAGGGTGGCGAAGTTCGGAATAATCTTGAAAAGCGGTCTGTCAGTGGCCAATCCCCATCAACGATGGGATTTGGATGGTTCTGGGGTGGGAAGACATCTGAGATTGATACCAGTCGTCTGGTGGTTGGTGGTTCTATCATGTTCTATCTCAAGACTGTGTGGCCTATCTCAAGCACTCTCTTAAGTGCGGCAATCTTCAAAACCGGTCGAGCGGGAACGCTGGATATCAGAGGATGAATCCTAATGAAGGATACCTTCCATGACCCGGAACCAAAACAACACTCTAAAGCGTGGGGGCCATCCACACATCCAACTGCACAACATCTTTCTTCCATAAGTGACAATCTCTTTTTAATCAACCCCAACCCCAACCCACACTTTTCCGTCCTGCTTCACTCACTGCGCCCCCGTCAAAACATGGGGCCTTCAAGAAGTTTTCAGTCACGTCTTGGCCAAAGGCCACTCCGACCTCAACAAGGGCCGGCAGCTGTCACCGCGCCCTCTCTGCGTGAGCGCGGACATGTGCGGGCGGCGGGAGCTGAAGACGATTGATGAATCAGAAGCCCCAACCAAAAACCTGGAGATTCAAAAGCCATTCTCCTAGAGTCACAAATTGGTGGTGTTTAGTCCCTAAGTGAGTGGATCATGGGCACTCCTCCATGGATCGCGCCCCTTTCTGACTGGCTGAAGCCGGTAGAAAGGTTTGGTTGAAGTATCAGCAGTCACCACCTCGCGTGTGCATCAACCACTGGAGGCATCCTTCGCGTCTCCGCGTTCCCGTGTGGAGACTTCGAGGGGTCACAAGGAGTCACTTTCCCATGCTATCAGGTCGCAGAGCGGTTCCTTCGCTCTACAAACGCCCAATTCTATACCAGGACCCGACTCTACAGGTCACCAATTGAGACCTGAGACAGGGTCCAACAACCCTCAACTAACAGCCTGTTGGAGGGTGCTGGTAAGTGTTTGTCCACTAAAAAACCTGGAACAACCCCCCCACACACTCACCCTGCTCCCGGGCACAACAAACAGTCAGCCGCAAATCGCGGCATCGACGTCCCGTCTCATCCAGGGCACCCCTCTCTTCGAGGGCGCCCGGCCACGGCCAGGTTGAGGATCACTCCAGAGCATCTCGGTCATTAAGCCCTCGTCCGGTGGCTCACAATCCCGGTTCACCTGCAGAACACGTTTTCGCAGAAAACCGTTTTGTTTCGCCGAGTGAGCCAAGGGAATATACAAGTACCTGGACATACCTGGACCCTCCAACAGGTGCTTCCTGGTGACAACAGATGCCCAACCTCCTGTTAGGGTCTCCAAACAGCCTGTTGGAGGGTCCTGGCATGCTTTGGGACCTCTGATCCGTTGGTCTTCTTTGTTAAGCCGGTGGCGAGCCGACAGTCAGCCGCATTCTGATTCTGATTCTGTTCTAACAAAACCCAAATGAGCGGTGGTCGAAACCCATTGGTCTTGGCCTTATAATCATGTGGTTCTTTCATAGAGGTTTTGAACGCTGCTCAAATAAGATTGTACTAAGGGAGGATCAGCTTTCACAGTTGTTGAACGTTGAAAGTCAACTGGGTGTCGGGTGAAGGTATACCCTCCTAAAGGCATAAGCTTTTTTCAACCGAAGAGTCCAGCTCCCTTTCTGGGCCCAATCCATCAGGAAGGCATTGAAAGCACAACCAACCCAACTTGTTTTCTTCTTCTGAATTTGATTCTTCTCATCAGTGATGAATGCTGCAAATTAGGTCTTTGTAGATGCTCCTCCACCTGTCAAATCGACCACCCGACCCGCACTGCCGCCTCTGCCTTCCATAAAGCAAGCGGCGGGTGCGGTCATCCAAGCTCCAAACAAACACACCCAAGCAATCCATGCCCTCCCAAAAGGAATGCATCATATATTGCTCCGTGTTCTTGCTTTGCCACAACATGTTGGGGAGATGTTATTTCCAAAAACATGCGTTTGAAAGACCCATCGAGTTTGCCCCAAACGTCCCATCCGCATCCACTCAGGGGCCTTTCGAATGGATTCCAAGCTGACGTCATCCTTCGAAAAGAGCCCCCCGTGCACCACGAAGACCTGCTGGTTGATGACCTGGAAGCATGGAAAAACAATGCCTGAAGTAAGCCTGTTTGAAAGCTGGTCTAGAACAGTTCCATTTTGCATCATTTTGCCATGTTGAGGGGAAAATCTGATCCAAACGCACCAGGATATTCTTTGTTCCCAAAAAAGTCAGAGACATTGAGCGAAAAAGAAAACGCATCACAACGCAGAGGCTTCCAGGTCACATGGCAAAGAGGCAGCAAGCAAAAGGCTTCGCAAAACCTCAACGAAGCTGCAGCTTGAGCGCGCAGCTTCTGTCGATGGATTCTTCTCCAAACATGGACAAAAACCATGTGGCAGGGGGTGACCCCCAAGAAACAACCACTGAATCTACTCGTCGTTTGTCCCCAGCACAGCAGGGTTGCTGCGCTGACCTGGTTTCCTCCCCTTTCATCCACGTTCACACCGCCCGGTTGGTCCTGAACCCATCCGAAGCTCCGCTACGTGCAGTACCAAGGTACTTATTTGAGGTCTACGGTCTACGGTCCACTGTCGCATCCGATGAGCCACTGTCGCATCCGATGTTCGTCCCCCCTAGGCCCTAACCGACCGAGTGGTGCATGGATGTGCATGGTATTGTTTAAGCACTCCATGGGACTGGCATAGGACTGCGGCCCCATTCACCCCTTTTCAACCACCCCAATGTAAGCAATATGGCAGTCCCATATGGAGTGTCTGGGATTTATCTACCGACCCCCGAGCTGTTTCGATCCGACAAGAGAGGTGAACCGAACTGTTCATCCCAAAAAAAACAGGTGAGAGGTGATCCACTGACTGTGATAGGAAATATATGCGCATCACCCATGTTGCCAGCCAGCAGGATTTCTTTTGTTTAATTCGTACATCTTCTGGCACTGCGAGCAATCAGTCGGTACATCTGTCCCTAAAACTCCAACCATATCCTCCGGTTCGGTGCTTAGACCCCCCCTGGCACCCACCCCTGGCCGGAGGTGGGCCAGGAGCCCTAGGGTGTGGGGGTCCATGGAGTGCCTGGGCCATGCATCCGCATGGGTCGGCCGGTCCGGCCGGATGGTTCACGGCGAAACCATATGGAAACCGTGCGTGTTTGGGCGAAATCATGGTGTTTGGGCTTTTGTAGGAATCATATATAGAATTGGGTTGCCTGTACATATATGGTTGAGAGGCGTCTGTTGGTTCGAGGAATTGGATGGATTCAGGTGAACATGTGACAGAACTTGGAAAACCAAAGAAGCACCTTTGGCACTGAATGCTTTCATCCACTGCCCAAGATGAAGGACAAATAAGGAAAGTCAAGTAACAGCTGGTAGAGGTCTTCATCATACTTCCTTGGCTGCAAACGAGTCAGTCACCTTGCAGTCCTGTGGGACTAGTACTCATCCTATCCTCTAAACAAATCCAGAACGATGGCATCTACAACCAGTCCTCTAAACGGCCATTGGGAAGCTGTTCATTCGGGAAAATGTCCAGAAAACACGATGACAAAATAGAGCCTTTGACAAACTACGTCCGCCTCCAGGCAGTGTTGTGAAAAGGGACGACGGTGGCAGTATTGTGGAGAACACTTGCCTTTGCCTTGGGGGCCATGTTCACCATGTCTTGAGTGAACGATCGGAGTTTCCTGTGCTGGTAGCCCACCCAAGTAAAGCTCTTAAATGGGGTTAGCTGATCAGCCTGGTCAGTCAGACCAGGACAATTTTCCAGCTCCACCCGCACTTACCAACCTAATTATATTGTCTGAGCATCAAGCATTTATTGATCCCCTATAAAGGGCGCGTCCTGTCCACTGTGTCCTGTTCCCTGTGACGATGGATGATTATGGTTAACACCGTTCTCTTTGTAAGTTAGCCACTATGTGATTGCTTTTCCGACTGTTCTGAGTAGGATTGAATAGGACTGTAGAACCGCCGCCATGTTATGCCGAAACATCGCGAAACACAAGCAGGGGAAGGGCGGTGTATCCCCGCAGCAGTGGATGATGCGTCAACTGCCTTTCACCCAAAAGCACGAAAAAACCTCAATTACAGCACACTCTGACGAACACATCACATGGAAGCGGATGGCCTGACCCCTTGGAAGACTACTTTCTCTTCGGCTTTCCACGGTTTTCCACTTCCACGTGATGGGTACCAACTTTTTTTGTGTCTTATGACACATCCAACTCCCAGGGAGACCCCCAGCGGTAGATTGACAAGTCGAGGAAAGGATGAGGGGTCTACTGTTGAGAGAAGAAACGATAAAAAAAAAAGCACTAGAACCACCTGGTTCATACTGCCTTCTTCTCAATTTCATGTGACTTCTTTCAACAAGGCTTGGGACTCACCTCACGACCGGCAAGGGATGACAGCTTCGCTCCTGAACGCCGTGCTCAACATGAAAGGTCGGACCTGTTGAGCACCGCCCGCCCGACCCACTCTCTTGGCTTGAGACAAAACTCAAACACCCAACTTCTTGGATGAGGGAGATAACACCTGTAAAACAAAAAAACAAAACCTAACAGGCCCATTTGGGCCGGGTTGTGGAAGGTACACCACCTTTCTGCAGCAAAGCATCTTGGTGACTTCCCCCTCAAAGCCATAGAGCTTGTTCATGTTCCTCCGCGACAAAGCTGCTACCGGTTCTTTGGGTTCCACCCACGGGGGGGGGCTTCTGACTTCGGACCATGGTGGAGAGACCCCCTTGACTGCTGATATGGCTTGCAAAACTACCGAAGATGAGCTGAATGCTGCCCGAAATAGCTTCGTTCTGCAGTGCATCTTGCAGTTCATCTGCCCAAGACCTAAAGATCTGTGCCGGAAAAAAAGGCTGCTGAATCGTGGTCTCTTGTTCTCATTTGTGCATTCCAAAATCTTCCGACGATTGTTACGAGTGCCAGTAACATTTCGATTCAAGAAACCCGGGATCCACAGCGATCCTCTTCTCTAGACTGTATACCCCTCTTTCGACACCACTGCCCACCAAGCCCATCACAATACAATCACTGTGCTCTGCCCAAACGACGACGGTACTGACGACGGTACTGACGACGGTCCCATGCTACCGCTGGCCATGATACTTGTCCTTCACCCGCAGCATCAACAACTAGTCTCATCCAGGAGGGTGGATAACCCATCCACCCTCCAATCATGAAAGTGAACAACTTCCCCTCGAAAAGGATTCCTTTAGAGTCAGGTGCTTTTCCACTTGTTTTTCTTGGAGACTTCCTCCTCCCACAAAGGCACCTCGTTCACCGTGCCTGGGGAGCCACACCAGTGCAAACAGTGCCGAGTGGCCGGGTCTCATGGTTCCCTCTCGCCAAATGCAGGTGATTCGGATACCTCAGCGGTGATGGCCGGCTGAGTGGCGTGGCTGGGGCAGAAGCTAAGCTTTGGGCCATGCGAGCGCGGCTGAAGCGGCTGAGTCAGCAATATCATTGACTTGTATCCAAGAGCCATCTCCACCATCGTCCACCCCACTTGCAAAGGGGGTGGCCAATTGATGCAATGTTGGTCACAACATTGTATTTGTATCAGTCACCTATTTAGACTCTTCCTCCAAATGGTCACCAACAGCGATCGACTCCGTCGACTCGACTCAATCTATTCCACACATCAGCTACGCCAACTTCCACGCAAAGAGCGTGAGGATCACCTCGACAGAGAAAGAGCCTCAGAACGAGCCGCCGGCGCCACCGGCGCCCAAGAACACGTTGCCCCCCAAGTCCAAGGATTACAAATTATGTATATAAACACGAGGAACCACGTGGAACCAAATAATGAATTGATGTACCATTCATTAAATTAGTTTACTATCCCTAGGGCTCCAACCATATCCTCAGGTTCGGTGGTTAGACGCTCCTGGCACCCACCCCTGGCCCATCTTCTCAGGAGGTGGGCCAGGAGCCCTATAAGGGTATATTTTTTGTGATATATGGTAAACACGTCTAAACCCATCGCGGAACCGAACTGGCCATGTCTTGTTCCATTCGGTTCTGGCCATCCGAGCTGGGCAACGCTGTGGAAAGACCAATGAGTTTGGGACTTGCTCCTCTGCTCCATGCACTGTTCCGTGCACTGCTGCACTTCAGCGCCTCATCCCCCCCTGACACCGGACACTCGTCGACTGGATCACCATGGATCGTCCCCAGTCCACTTCGTCGCACTTCCCACACCTTCGCCCCGGACGACGCCTCGGTCCACGAAGTCGCCGTTGAAGAGATAAGGGTTTTGTTCCTCAAACGACGGGACCGGCGACGGCGAGACGAAGGTCGGTCGACCGAGCAAGCCATGCGAAGGCGACCGGGGGGAGGTGGACTGCCTGATCGGTCCGGAACATCTCGTGGATGTCGAGAATTTAGAAGCGTGACTTCTTGTGGGCCTTCTTCAAGAAGGGAACACCTCTGCCCTGTCACAAAGGAGAGTGGAAGGAACATTTTTAACAGCGTCAACATTACAGGATTCATCAGGATTCTAAGGGTGGCTGACACTTGTTCATGACTTGTACTCGCTTCATGGAATTCAGGAAGAGCTGCAGGTCAATGACTTGAGCCACGAAGATCTGCAGGAACTGTCGTCAAAGCCGCCTTTGAGGCGTGGATGACGCTGGTCCTCTCAAGGAAGGTCGGAGCTCTGACACAAGACCTGCATAGTCTGAGGGCGCCGGTTGATCTGAATGAACGCAGTCCAAGATCGTCGCAGGCGGCACCCTCCGCGAGCTTGCCATGCTTCCAGCTCGAACACCTGCTTCAAATCTGCCCACTTCTCCATTTCAACAGATGGGCGATGTCAACAGCGTCCTGTGCTGCCTCCAGTGCCTCGCCGATGTGAAAAAAGCATAAAGTATCTAATCTCGATATTTGTCAACACACACACAGCTTCCTCTCCAAGTCGGCTGCCAAGTGCGTCTGACACATCTGTGAACGGATGACGAATTTACAGCGACTGAATCAAACCGCTCCTTAAGATCTTCTGCCACCCACGGCCGAGGTGGCTAATGGAGAGCCCTTAAGCTCTTTTCTATTCACCCCAAACAGGCGGCTCTGGAATGGTGGGGTCTTATTCATCAAACCATCAAGCTTGGGTCAAGTCCATCTAGACCCGTCTCGTAGCACCAGACTCATCCTAGCAAACGAAACCGTCGACGCTGGGCGGCTGCTTTGACGAAGCTCAGCGCGTCCGTCGCCGTTCGCGCTTGGCGCTTTGCTTGTTTTTAACGGTGCATCCACGGCTCGGAGGGAATTCCGTTCAAGGAGAAGATATTGAGCAGATCATAGAACTGCCCATGAACATCTCCGCACACGGTCACCTCGCCCATGTCTGGGACCTGACCGAACCGAATTGGACTCTGCGCCGGTTTCGGCGTGATGGGTGGGTTGTGCGCAGAAATTCAGGTTGCACATGGTTACACTAGGCTTGTGGGGAGAGGTGCTTTTTGAGGGGGAGTTGAAGAAGCACATGTTTTTTTTCATATGCAACTGATTCCAGGATCCTGGTAAAGAAGGAACCAGTGACCAGGGATTTCAGGGAACTTCCAAGATCTTCCAAGCAGGATGAGTTGTTCGCCCCTCCAAATGATCAGAGCAACAGGCGTACACAAATGTTCACATCAACTGATGCACTCTCAGAGCTTGTGGGCGTGTGGGAAGTCAACCGATTTTTGGATTCTCTCTTTAATTACATCACATCCTCAATGCCAGGGGGTTCCTCTTTACCCACGCAGGTGGAATCGCCTGAAAAGGTGGACGTCCCAACATCGACTGCACTGGCTGCACTGGGCTCAATTCTTCTGAGTTGTTGGAATTGACACCGTCTTGGTCTAGGGTTTCTCTTAACTGGTGGTTGAGGAATGCTTAGACCACTTGTCACTCAAATGTTCATGAGTGAAATTCTTACGAACATGCTCTTCAATAAGCAACAGCTGTGGTTTTGAGAGGAAACCCCTATAAAGGATTGGACAACGAGCAAGCCAAAGCCTCAGAGTTGAGGTCCCAACATGGAGAAAATTGCTACCACCCATCCAAGATGCCAAACACATCCTCCACACCTATCGTATCCACCATTGTCAGGTGGGAAAGGACCATGTTTTCTCTGAGAACACCAACCATCTGGAACTGTCCTCAAAAATTTGTCCACAGGGCAAAACGCTGCATCTGGAACCGCTCTGTCCGGCTCTTTTGATCTCTGTCCGGCTCTGCCCGCCTCGATGTCCACTAAAGTGCTGGAAGTCTTCAACATTTCAATCATATCCAAAACCTCAACTGGAGCCCTCCGAAGCCGCCGCAAAGACCGCCCAAGCGGTTTGGAATGACAGCAACGGGTGGATCCACCGTGTAGCTTCGTCGTGCGGCTCCGTGGATGTACAAAGAACCAGCCGGCCGACAAAATCGACATGATCTCATTCATGTTTGGTCAATGACGGCATGGGATTTCAGGAGAAACATCCCCCACCCAGCAGGTGCTTTTGCAGGTTTTTGTTGACCTGCATGGAGGCAAATCCTCAGATGAGGAGGCAAATCGATTCATTGATCCCAGCTTTTGAGGGTCCAACCCCACCTCCTCACCTCAACACACAGGGCCACTTCCCCGCACTACGATCGACACAACGGGGCCATGATCAGATCTTTGGCAACACCAATGGACTGTGTGACTCCTCTACGGTCCATGGGCGCGGCCAAACCTGCGGCCGTTCTCGCCCAGAAGCGATTTGATAGGCAAACTTCTTGGCGATCACGAGCCTTGAAAGCGGGTTGTCTCTGTTTTTGCACTTCATTAGTTTTGACATGTTTTGACTCTCCCTCTCCTTCTCTCCTTCTCTCCACTCTCCCTCTCTCTCTCCCTCTCTCTCTCTCTCCCTCTCGTTCTCTCCCTCGCTCGCTCGCTCCTTCGCTCTGATGACTTTTCATGTCTTTCTTTCGGAGCATATGTTGGGGACTTGTTGGGGAGTCAATACACCTCTGAAATATCTTTCCAAGGTAGCTTGGACTCTCTCCGGTTTCCACCGGTTTAAATCACTTGAAAGCCAGGATAAGCCAGGCAGCTCCTTCCTCTGATGCTCCATGAGCTGTTGACAAAAGTCGCTGGTGCAAGCGCCAGAGACGTACACAGGTCCTCTCACGCCGTGTACGTCAAAACGCGTGAAAAGCCACCGCGACCGATCCCTAGTCGAAGGAGCATTTCACGACAGGTGACTGGAGCGTTATGTTCTTTTTGGGGGGGGAGGTCGTCGTGGGGTCCCTGAAGAAACTGGTGAAAAGTTCAGAAGGGAGCACGGGGCTCGTCTCTCCAAAAAGACTTTGTCGCTTCCTACATCAAGAGGTGCAACAGCACCTACCCTAGCTAGACCAACCAGGTCGGTGTCTTGCTCCGGACTGTCCTGCATCGTCTGTCCAGAGCAGCTTCTGTAAATCAACATATCGATACTGTTCGATACTGAGTTTCCATTCAATGCCACAGCCATCATGAGCTCCTCCAGTGCGAGCCCGCGCTTTTCCGTCCAGCCCGCGTCGAAGTCCCTTTCCGTTTACCGGGTCGAAGTCACGTGTCACGAACACGCCACAACTGTCGGCCTGTGTAGCTGGCGTCCACCGGCATCTGCTCCACGTTCACGGTCTCACTGATGGGTTTCGTCTTTTCACAGCCAATGGCCTCGGGCATTGGGCATGAGGGGGCGAGGGCGAACGACAGGGGCGACTTCAGTCGTTCGAACAAGACACGGTGGATCTTTAAAACAAGGGAGACCGGGATTACCGGTGCCTCTTTTTGGGGCTAACAGGTCATTTGTTTCTTCTGGGGAGTCCAAACTGATACCCAAGTCGTAAGGAACATTGGCTTGTCAACATGTGTAACTGATTTTAACACCGGTACCACTTATGTATTATGTATTTATCGTTTGTGTTTTGATTCTGTTTGCCTTGGTGCTGCCAATGTCTTGATTTTCGTTGTACGACTGACCACCCTCCAGGTAGCAGCCACCCCAGCGGCACGGGACCAAAAGTGGGTATAGACCCTCTGAGCCTCTGGGCAGTCGTTGGTCTGACTAGGTGCCAAAGGTATCCAAAGGTTCTGAGGGGTGCAGAAGAATGCCCTTCTACCAAGGTAGGAAAGCATCGTATAGATGTGTATTGGCCAACCTGCCAATCCTTCCCAGCCTTCGCAAACTTCTCAGCGTTCACTTGCTTTTGACACTGCTTCCTCAGACGTTTCCATGCAACAATCACGGAAAAAAGGACTCCGATCAGATTCATTTGACACAGCTCCCCCATGTGACTTCGAAGTTGTTCTGTTTGGACTGAACACAACATCTTTGAGGCTGCCGTGTCCATTTCCGGCGCTTTCACGGGCGGTGACTGGCGCCGAAGTGGAAAGCGTTCCTGTTCGGAAGCTGAGCATCAGGCACCCGAACAATCCCATGGCGACAGGAAAGGCTGTCCAGGAGTCACAAGGGGTATTGGAGGATAGGGGCCGGGGTGACCATTATCCGCTCACTTGGGGACGACACACCACCCCCTTCGTGAATTGTGGGGTTGTTCTTTTTGCGTCGGATTCAGCTGAGCATCAGCTTGTCTCGCGCGTCCTTGTCATTGGGGGCCAACTTACACAGCTGCATGAAGTCCCGCAAAGCTTCCTGCGCGCGCGCTCGGCGTGGGGGAACGGCACGGGTGGAGGGGACCTGGTGGAGGGCCGACCGTCGTAGCAAAACCACGACTCAATCACTCGATTTAGACTGTCTTGAACCCGATGGTCACTGCAATGTGTCAAGATGTTCCTCTGAGGTTTTCTGCGTTGTGAAGACGGTGAAGAAGTCACGCATCATCAATGTCAGGAGCTATACATGTGAAGAGCGTGGTAGAATATCCGTTGTTCGTCAGGTGGCATAGCAGGTCCGAAGTCCAGTCAAAACTTTGCTGATGAAATGAGTGTGTAATTAAAATAGGGCCCACCCAAACCGATGGGTAGACTGGTCTGTGTCTCTTCTTCCAGGGGGTTCATTGCCTGGGAGGTCTCCAAATTTTAATACACACCCAAATGCTGAGGTTGTCTCTTGTGCCAACAAAGCTAGTAGTCGCCAGGGCCTTACTACTAACAAGTGCATCGCAACTAGTAGCTTCTAGCATCTTATAGCTACTACTGATGCCTTGTTACTAGTATATAGCTTCTAGCTAGCTATAGCTACTATAAGTACTATATGTCCTTGTTACTAGCGATGCACTTGTTCCATCTTGTTCCGTTCGCTTGTTCCATCACTCTCCTTCGCCCTCTTCTTCGCCCCAGACAACTCCGCTCCCCGCTCCTTGGGACGTCCCAGCGCCATTTGGGCAGTGCCCCGCCGGTACCAGCCCTTCCTCAAACACGTGACGTGGAGAAAGCATGAGAAAGCGAGGTTCCAAGAGGCTTTTGTTCAGTACGGATGGCCATGGATGGCTGAAGTTGGATTGAAGGGACTTCTTGCCATGACAGGGGGGGGTTCTGATAGTTTGGAGGGAAATGGAGGGGAATGTTCACTAGAGTTGCATCTGTTTCTCCTCAGTTGGCCACCGGTTGGCTGGTCTGCTTGCAGTGATACCTTCTCAGTCGATCTATCCAAATGAGTCCGGAGGAGTCTGCTGAGGAACAGCTCATGGTGCTGGAGGCAGTTGACAGAAGCGACTGTTAACACAAGAAATGAAGCATCATGCTGATGACAAGTCGAGTCATACAAGTACCAACCTGCTCCACTTGCCATTTTGGAGAACTTATCAACGCAATAAGAAACACAGCCAAACTGGGAAAAGCTCCCCCCAAGAACCAACCAAATCTGTTGGGCGAACAGAAGTGCACAGAACTGGGCTCCTGGACTGCTCATCAGCGGAGTAGACCGGCCCCTGGACCACTAACCGACTCGTGTGCACGGCGCGTGCTCCCAGTGAGAGACCTCCCACGACACTTCACACCGGTGCCGGTGCCCCGGTTCGGTAGAAGACCGGTGCTTCCCAGCGAGGTGCGGGAAATCTTCCTTGGCCTCGATGGCCTTGGTGGCATCCACCAGGGCGGAGCCAAAGTTCTCCATCTTGATGTGGCCTGTGGAGATGTGTGGAGATGTGTGGAGTGAGGGGAGATCAGTTGGGACCAGGACAAATATAGCAAACAAATAACACCTGTATTCCTGATTGGGAACATGAGCTTCTCCAAAGAGGATTTGCAACTTTCAAAACGTAACCAAAACACCTGTCCAAATGCTTGGCAATTGCGTGACCAAGTGGCAAAAAGCCCGGTTGGCGTAGTAGATCTGGACGCCTGGGTTGGGGTAGGCTTTGGGGCTATATAGGCTTACTCGTGATGGGTTTGCGCTATCTCAACTTTGCACAACTGGGGATCTGTTCACTTTCCTGCCACAGCTCCTGGATGTCAGAGGCAGTTTACCGGCAGGGGCAGGCAGTTGGGCGCCAAGAAACAGTGTCTTTGGCGGCGTGGTAGGCTCGGTGATACAAAGTCACACGAGTTACACACTCCGTACGAGCCGTTTCTATCGGAAGAGATTTTGGTGAAGCGAACGAACTCCCCACCTGTTGGGTATTGGTATTTCTTTCGAAGAAGCGCATCCAGTACAACCTGAAAGAATAAACGCTCCCTATATAGTCCTTCTATATTTGTTTTTCAATCGTTATCATGGTTTTCCATGGTTTTCCTATCACTCCCCATTTCGTTCGGCGTGTCCTATTTGGTTGGCCCAAAATAGGACCTCCTTGGCCATTTGGCCTTCCATCTCGAGTTGATCGAATCCCTGGACCTTCTCGAATCGCGGGTTTGTAGTGGCCCCCAAATGGGTGAAGATTCGAATCCTCGTATTACGACCGCGGATTTCTTTGGCCAGACGTCGGTCAAAACGGTCCATTGTTCTATGGCCGTTGTCTTGTCTTTGTAGCGCCAAGCGGCTGGGGTTCTTGGATTTGCTAACCCCATCCAAAGAATCTAGGCCATCATCATCTTCCGAAAGTTCGATCGCCATCGAATACGCCGCCAAGGCTTTGGCATATTTCCCCTCCTGAGAGGTCGACGGTGGAGGCGCCAGACGTTTGGGCGTCCTTTGGTCAGCTGGGAGTCTGATGATGTAGATAGATCGAGCCAACCGGGAATTCTGTTGCGTTTGTCATTATTCTATGCGCTTGAAAGTGACATCAATCAACTGACTGATCAAAGATATTCACTGATAAGGTAAAAAAGATTACATTCTCTTCAACCTCTTTTTGGAGATTGTTTCCACCTGGGTGACGGGTGCCAATCATTTGGAAGCAGTTTTATAAACTGGAGAAGGACCGGTGACGACCAAAAAGCTTCCCCTACATTCGCACTCCAAATCTGGGCCAACCCCCGCCCCCAGATGGTCCGCCGCAGCCCGCCGCCCGCCCGCGCCAAGAGCGCGCGCGGACCATCCGAGGATCTTGGAAGAACTTGTTCCCCTCCGCCTTGGCCGACTCAGCCTTCGTCCAGTCTTCCATGACGATCTTCCGTCAAGGACGAACAGCCCGAAGATGAAGGCGCATCCACCGCGGAGAAAGGCCGGTGGGACCAGCAAAACTGTGGCAATTGGGTGAGTTTGGTGGTGTTTTTGTTTGGTACTTTGAAGGCTTATCTCCAGATTCTGAAGTGAGAGAGGTGCTATTCTTCTTTCACACAAGCTAGGTGTTCTTGCAAAACAGCTTGCCTGCTGCTGTAAAGTTATGATAGATGGCGGTGAATCTTGCCAGCTTCATCCGCCACTAAAGGAGGGAGTCTGTGCTGCCCCTGTCCTGTGAAGCCAAAATGTGAGCAGACCGGCTCCAGCTGATTTGGTCGACCTCGATTTCGGTCGCTTATGATCGAGCTCTGGTCATTTTCGGAGAGGGTGTTCCCCGATCATTCCTCCAGCTTTCCCCGTTGAGAATTCATCATTCGGAATTGGCAAAGCAAGGTCGAAAGCCATGGATTGAGCCCCAAAAGAACCGCAACTCTTGTAGGGTTTATCCTGGATGTGGTCATCGCGCACTGCTAAAATGCAACCAATGCAACACATTTGTCATGATGACCAAAACTGTGGACATACAAATCATGTGAGCTATGAGAGATGCACCCTCAGCTATTGATGACCACCAAAGGGAGTATATGCAACCATCCAAGTACTTTAGGGGATGTTCTACCAAGTGAACTGTCTGTGGTGGGTGATGAAGGGAGAACGACTTCGCACTCATCAGTGAATGTGTTTGGATGTGTTTGGTAGATACATACGACGGACGGAAGGTGGCTGGGACCTATAACGAATCGCCGTTGCTTCTTGCTGCCCTCAAAAAACCAGGAAAGCACTTCGAGGCTGTTAGGACCATCTAATGTCCAATTGAGATCCAACTCTTCATCACTTTTCACCCGCAACAGCTCCAGGACACCCGTGGGTCACAGAAAAAAAGGCAAGGAGCCAGTTACATAACTTTCTTGTTACACCCTTTTACACCTGCAAGTGACAAGTCTACAAAACAATATCTCCATGACATGAAGGATGGTGGACATTAAGCGTTCCCCAGTGAGGACAGCGGAATGAACTGGCCTGTTAACTGAAGAAGGTTCCAAGATGGAATCATGTTTGATGAGAATCTCATCTTTGATTGTTGAAAGAACTGTCTTCAGATCGATTGGGCCTCTTCAGTGCAAGGTGAGGATTTTTCCTGTGTCCCCCAAACAGCTCGCATTCCATCCCTGCTAAGCTGCTAGGGTAATCCAGAAACCAAACATGATCGCTCAAACCTTGCAAAGACCCGGCCAACCATGGCCGCCTGGCCTGTCTCGTTGGTTTCACCGAGAAGCTGACCCTCGCTGACCCTCTGGTTTCCTAGGAACTGAAGATGGTGAACCAAACTGGGGACCAGAAGCTTCAATTGCAGTAGGTGATCCACGAAAACTGCCTAGGCCAGCCAACAGCATGGCCCATGACAGACTGGAGAGACCTCATGCAGCATCCAACCCAATTTAGCCCAATTTTATGAAGGACGAAGAAGACACGTGGACATCCTCCTAGCTGGTCAAGAACAACACCTTCTACAATAGTGTGTATAGCCTCTCTGTGTGTGGGTTTACAGCATAGTTATCTCAGCATAATATATAATATATACGTTAGTTTTCACAGAAAGGTAGCCTTCAAGAGGCTACAAACGTATTTAATGGTTTTAATGTCAGTCTATACATGTCTATACTATATACAATTCTATACATAATGGTTTCAATCTACAGGAGGTCTCCCCTCCAAGTCACCAACCAAGTCGAAAGCCCATCCGATTCAAAAGGGGCCCAGAAAGCCCAGAAGCCCGGGACAAACGTCAACCCGCCTTGAGCGGCACCTCATTCACAGTGAAGTAAACAGATTGGTTGATGAAGGTGCTGTGGCACTCGATCGGCAACTCAGGCCTCGAGGGGTGCGTGACGTAATTAGGCCTTGCTTGGTAAGTTTGGGAAGTTTAAGGGCGAGTTTTGCATAGAAAGCCAAACGCCCAAAGCCCACCCAAAAGGGCTCCACACGTACCGGTCACTGTTCACGGCCGCTGGCTGGGCCGAGGGCCGAGGGCACGGTTCACTCTCGTTCAGCACCGGACCGCACTTCTGCGCGGCCTCATCTGGAGCAACTTGACCATGTGGAGAAGATCCCCTTGGATCGTTCGGCATCACAAAAGACGCAGCGTAAGTAGAGACTGGACGAAAGACGAACCATCTTGAAGAGACCTTGACCTTCTGACCTTCTGACAGCCAGACCGGTCTGGCCAGTAGCCAGACCGATCTTGAAGAGAAAACCAAACACCATCGAACACCCCTTTCACCAGCGCGCGCCGCAGAAAACCCGTTTCACCGGACCCTTTACCGGTGAATGTTCAGGATTTGGTTCTGGAGAAGCTCATCATGAATCATGCGTTGTTCAGGTTCAGACTTCGGGCGCCACCTCACTTGGGCAAACGATCGCCTAAAATTGTGAACGATTCATGTGTGGCCAATCGCTGAGAAAATCATGCAATGCATGTGTTGCCAAGCCCATCTGCAGAAGCGAAGTGTAAGCTTGTGCACCTTCCCCAAACTCCACCCACCCAGAGTGTTTTCAGTGAGCTCCAGGCTGGGGGTCCAAAACAATCTAGCGCCTCGACTGCACAACCAGTTGTTGCCTCGCACAAGACCTATAGGTGTCATTATCTTGAACTTTCAACTGGCCATGGTCGCTCTCCGAACTTCGTGAACTGGACCTTCCGCCCAGTGAATCTTTACAAACCGTAAACAGGTGGGTGTCTACCATTCCAAATAAATACCCATTACCCATCTCTCTCAGAGTGGACACCCGACCGACTTGGGCCCGTTGGTCGACCGTCTAGGTGGTTCACCCAACGATCGAGCCAAGGTGCCAGTCATCCTTAGAGACGGGCGATGGTCGCGCCATCTCGAGACGGGGCGACCTACTAGACCTACTAGCAATATGGCTTCCAACGTTGACCTAATAGCTCGTTAAAAAGCTTCCAACTCTTCAAACCAGAACAGTTTGAATTCTTGGGTTGAGAAATCCAAGCAGGCAGGGGGGCACCCTAAACCCTAAACTCCTATAAAGGCCACTGCTGTACAGGCTTCGGTTGCAAAACAAAAAAGGTCCAACCATGGCAACGTCAAGTGAAATCTTGGGCACCTGAACATTCTCCAATGCCATTGGGATTGCAACAACACGACTTAGAACCTTTAAGGATTGATTAGTCTTGGTGGTAAGATCCGCAGAGCAAATTTCAAATTCTGGATGTGAAGGAGGGTCCTCAGAACTTGGCTGTCCAGCCCGGTCCTCTGCTAAGGGTGAAAAACCTTCAATGGCTTGAATCCATTCTAAACCAAAAGGACTGAGGGTCCAAGAGCAGAGGACGGTCAACACGAAAAAACAATCCAGTCTCCTGCTTTGTGAAAACTTCAAGGACCTCCAAACTCGACTCAACCTTCACCTGTCGTGGTGCTGAAGAATGGGGTATGATTCCAAAAGTGGATCTCCATGCAGTGAACAGTCCCTGTGGCTGCTTAAGTTGTCCATTTAGACTGCAGCTAGGCATGGCAGTGAGTTTCCCCACAAATGCGTGTGAGCAAGGGTGGAGGAATTATATAACCCTAGTGCACCAGAATAATCATGACTACCCCTGCTGGATGTCCGAGGCACTTGAAGTCGTGCATGGAGTTCAGCGGAATGGCCTAGCTCACGCGGTGCAGGGTGTGGCACTGATTTAGGTTCTATCCATCAGCTGACAGATGCTGTCTGCGGGTGACGAAAAAGCCTTAAGTTGCGAGTCACAGGAGAGACGCCAGCAGCAAGGAAGACATGACCCGGTGTCCAGGAAAGGATCTTCTTGCGAGTACCAAAAGTACAAACATAGGGACTGGAGGACTGGAATAAACGACGCCCAGTAGCGCAAGACTTGAAAACACACACCCTGCACATGGAGTTCTCCCATGAGACCCCCCCTCCGATGAGTGCTAGCCGCTAGCCGCAGGGTCAGGAAAGCATGGACCGGGAGGGGCACCAGGGTCAGCGAAGCAGTGCGCATTGTCTTGGCTTCCAAAGGGTTTTGTCGGTTGTGGCCAGGCTTTCTTCAGAAGGCCTTCTCTTTGTCCACCTGGAGTTCAAAGTTCTTGCTGGTAAGAAGCTGCATCCCCCCAATCCAATCCTTTGTCAACTTGGATTGCACACCCACGGTTTTGGTCAGAAGCCGAAGCCAAATTTCAGCGTTCCCGCTCCACAGAATCGAAAAGGCTGGGCCACCAGTGCTTGGCTTGCCACCCGTGACCAGGCACACACACTGCCGACGTGCATTGAAGATCATTGAAGAGTGCCTATAAATCCTGAAACTCTGCATTGGAGTGATGTCACATGGCGGTTCCTGTGTCACCTGCACTTGCCTGCCTGTGTGGTCTGGTGGCACCACGGATGGTTGAAAGGACCGGAATCCGTGTGTGTTCTGAGTGTTCCCCACAAAG